AGGGCGCCTGGGTGGCTCAGTTGGTTAAGCGACTGCCTTCGGCTCAGGTCATGATCCTGGAGTCCCTGGATCGAGTCCCTGGATCGAGTCCCGCATCGGGCTCCCTGCTCGGCGGGGAGTCTGCTTCTCCCTCTGACCCTCCCCTTCTCATGTTCTCTCTATCTCATTCTCTCTCTCAAATAAATAAATAAAATCTTTAAAAACAAACAAAAACAAACAAACAAACAAACAAAACAGGGGCACCTGGGTGGCTCAGTTGCTTAAGCGGCCGCCTCTTGATTTTGGCTCAGCGTATGATTTCAGGATTCTTTCTCTCTTCCTCTGGCGCTCTCCCTGCTCGCGTGCTCTCTCTCTCTAAACCAAATAAATAAATCTTTAAAAATAAGTAAATAATAAAAAATAAAAACAAACAAAACAACCTCTCAAGAAACTAATAGAAGGGAACTTCCTCCACCTGTTGTTATAGGGCACCTATGGAAAACCATTAGACAACAACCTAGGTAATGGGGAAAGAATGTCTGCCTCTGAGATCAGACACAAGGTATACTCACTACTTTTATTCAACATTGTGCTGGAGGACTAGTGATTGCAGGGAAGAAAAACACATAAAAGACATACACAGTGGTTAGGAAAAAATAAATAAACTGTATTTTCACAAGACATGATCATCAGCAAATGACCAACATGCAAAAGAAAAAAAAAGCTCAACCTCAGGGCCAGGTGTTAGACTCTGGGGGAGTAGTTCCAGGAGAAAGGAACTTCTGTTTTTGTTTACCATAGTATCCTAAACACCTAGCACAGTGCCCATCCATAGAAGCAGTCATATTTATTTTGTGAATGAATGAATGAATGAATGGGCAAATATTAGATTGGGGTGGCTCAGTCCTGGAAGGTGACATTTCACTTCAGCCAAGATTTGATTTTAATAACTTTCAATTTTGGAAAAAGTATCTTAGATCTCGATCTTAAGTCAAATAGGAAATTGCCAAAAGACGCTGTCTTCCTTTACCAGTTACTTGTGATGGTTAATTTTACGTGTCAACTTCACTGGGCCATAGGATGCCCAGGTTAAATGTTCCTTCTGGGTGTGCCTGTGAAGGTGTTCCTGAATGAGATCAGCATTTTAACTGATGGAATCAGTAGAGTGGATTGCCCTCTCCAGTACTGGTAGGCATCATCCGGATCTGTTGATGGCCTGAATAGGACAGAAGGTGTAAAAAGGAGGGATGAGTTTCTTTTCTCCTGCCTTAGTGCTGAAGCTGGGACATCTCATCTCGTTTTCTCCTGCCCTTGGATTAGAATTTATACCACTGGCTTCCCTGGTTTTCAGGCCTTTGGTCTGGGACTGACTGCTAGTTTTCTTGATTCTCCAGCTTGCAGATGGCAGATTCTATATACACACACACTAAGGGTGTATATATATATATGTATATATATATACACACACACTAAGGGTATATATATATGTGTATATATATATACACACACACACACAGATATTAGAATATATATATTCTCTCTATATCCCAATATATATATGTACAGAGAGAATATATACTAGAATATGAGAATTAGAATATATTATTATAAATTATATAATTATATAATTATACATGATTATAGTTGTATATTATTAAATATAACAATTATATTTGTATATAATAATTCTAAATTATATTAAAATTATATTAGATATATTAGAATATATACATAAATATATTCTGTGTGTTTGTGTTTAGTCTAATAGTTCTGTTTCTCTGGAGAACCCTGATTAATACATTACTCATACGCTCACTCATATGCTCCTGTGCTTACTGTCATAGCTAAGATTATCAATCCAAAACATTATAGGTTTGCTGCACACTTATCTATACTTCCTTTTTTAAGGAGCTCACGCTTTCTGATTACAAAAGTAATACATGCCTTCTTTTGGGAATCTAAAAAATGCTGAAAAATTAAGAAGGAAATGAAAATTCCCTAAAATCCCATTGCTCCAACTGCCACTGAGCTCTTCCTCCTTCCGGTTCCTGTTTTCCTCATAATCTGTTCCACTAATTTGGCACCAAAGGCTACAGGCATGGAGATAGAGGTTGATATGAAAAGGAATCAGGTGGGTACCTTGGGGACAGAGGGGGACATCCATGTGGAATTTTCCAGCAGGAAATGCTGTCGTAAACCAGGAGAGATTTCCAGTCCCTATGTGGGGAGGGAGAGGGATCCCACTGGTGTCGGGTGAAATCTCAGGAAGGGAAGGAGGCTAGCCAGAGAAGAGAAGCAGACCAAGGAGAAAGGAAGAATCTCTTACAATATAATTAGTTTATACTTGCTCCAGAAAGTATATGGAATAAAGCATTAGAAAGAACTTACTTTCTCTTGAATTCTTATCTATAAAGGTTTTCCTAGGCTCTTCAAGAGTGAGATGCTTTCTGTATTTTCTACACCTGTGGAATGTGGCCAGCATTCTTTTCACAAAAGAACAATTTGACATGTAAAGGACACAGAATTAACCAGACTATTACTTCCTAAATGCCATCTTTTCCTTCCTCTGAATATTGATTTCACCTACTCTTTATAAACACGAATTTGTTTGGAATGGCTTTTCAGAACTGTCTATTTTCACACCCACATTAAGAACAATGAATCTGCTTAAATCTATGTTCTCTGAGAGAAGGCAAGTTTGCAAGTCGATCAAATGCCTTGCTGAGTTTTATCAGTTGCATGTATTTATCATCTTCCAGCCATCTTCTTAATAGGCTGCATTCCTACTGCTTCAAGGTCTGCTCACAAAGGACAGCCCTCCTGAGTTTTTGTCATTTGCCAAAAATTTCCTATTGGAAGATTTGACTTGTCTGCCCAGACAGAGACAGAAGTCCAGCCGTAGCTGTACGAATGGTTGCCACATGTCCCCTAGCAGACAGAGGAGATGCCATCTTCCGAACAGAAAAATGGGAGAAAATAGCACCAAGGCACCCACGATCTAGCTGATAACATGTTCCCCCAAACAACTTGTTTAAAAGACTTCCCGAACAAAAGCAACATAAACACGAACAACCCTATCCAAAAAGAACCTTCTAAATGTAAATTGTCTACCTCAAACACAAGAATCATAGAAGCCAAATCTTCCCCCTTATACATTCAAATCTCAGTAGGAACACAGAAAACGTTCTCCTTCAGGTCCTCAATCCAACAGTCATTCTAGGGCCCAATCTCCACAATGTGTTGGATCCCAAAACAACATGTTTTTGTTTTTTTTTTTAAGATTTTATTTATTTGACACACACAGAGAGAGAGACAGGGAGGGCATAAGCATGGGGAGCTGCAGAGGGAGAGGGAGAAGCAGGCTCATGACACGAAGGCAGACACTTCACTTATCTGCCCCAGGGGCCCCTCGAACTCCACAGGCCCCAGAAGCAAATCATCTGGCTCTGGGCATGTTAGTTAACGGAATTGGGCCTCCCTTCCTCAGCTATAAAACAGGGCATTACTGATAGCCACCTCATACAGAAGTCTGTTACAGAGATGAAATAACACACAATTGTATATTGCGTAGACTCTAGCACAGGGTGAAGAATCTACAAGTGTTTACCATTATTCTACCTTCACTCAAACCCATTCCTTCCTCCCCATATAGTCCCCAAACTGACTCACAAATCCACCACCCTCTCATCAAACTAGAACCTTGAGCATTCTCCTTGACACCTCCCCCTCCCTTAACCTCAGTCATTCTGTCCCAGCTGGTTCATTCCACTTCTTAAAGATCTAACCTTGTCTGTCCCTTTCTACTGTATTGCCTTAAGTCCTCAGCATCCCCTGGGACTTAGAGCCATTCTTTCCCTGACCTCACTCTTGCTGCTGTACAGCTTTGTTCTAAAGAGCACATTGCATGACACCACTCTCCTCTTAAAATCTTTCAATGTCCCCCCACTGCCCCGGGGCCAAAATCCAAACTCCTTGGAAGGGCACAGAGGCTCTGCAGGACCTGGTCTCAGTCACTCCCTCTCAGTCCATCCCACTCCCTAAGCTCCAGCTGGTCCTCCTTGGGGGAAGGTGATGCCAAAGTACTCATCGGCCTCAGTCAGTCCACAACTTCTCCAACAGCTGCTGCTTCTTCCAGATGTAGCTTGGGTGCCACTTCCTCTGACAAGCCTTCCTGGACTTCTAGTCGGATGAGTATCTTTCTTCTTTGTTCCGCCTGGGTCTCTGCCCTAACAGTTATCATGCTTTAGTTCTTATCTGCTCATTTGTCTGTCCTCCCCACTAAACGGAGTTGTCTGCGGCACAAAGATCGCCTTTTATTTCCATATCCCCAGAACCTAGCACAGTGGCCAGCAGACAGTTGGTACTCAAGGTACGTGAACCAGGGCAAAGTGTTTCCACCAAAAAGGAAACGTCTGGGGGAATCTGTATCAGGGTTAGCGGATCTTCACAGGGGTTCCTTCGGGCCTGCGTGGGTAGCCACTGCCTGCACGTCCTTCTCAGTGCTCCACTCTCGCACAGTTAGAGCAGACACAGGGCGGCACAGGCGGAGGCTGCCCCGGCGCCTGCAAATGCACGCTAAGCGGGCTGAGGTTAAATCTTGCGCCCTTTGTTCCAGGCAGCGGAGAGCGAGTGGGTCCGTGCCCGCCCGCCCGGCCCGCTCTGGCCGGGTGCAGGGCCTGCTGGAGCAGAATGGCACGAAAATGCACGGGGGAACGCCGCGTCGGGCAGGGGCGCGCGTGTGCGCGGGCCCTCTCCGTGCCAGCCTCCCGACTTCGGGGTGCCGCGCTCTCCGGCGCCCTCGCCGGGGCCCAGCCTCAGTGCCAGGCGATCCCCCGGGCCCGCCGCCACCGCCGGCGGGAAAGCGCCCGGCGTCCCGGCGTCACGCGCCAGCAACCGGGCGCGCGGCGCGCGGGACGGGGGCGGGGCGGGGGCGGGGCCAGCGCGCCCGAGGCGGGGCGGGGCGGGGCGGGGCGGGGCGGGGCGGGAGCCGGGCACAGGAAGCGCTGGGAGGCCCGAGCCGTCCCAGGGTGCCCCGCGCGGCGTGGACTCGGGCCGCTGCCGCCATCCCGCTGGCGAGAGGGAGAGAGAGGCCCGCCCGCTCGCCGGTCGGGCCAGTGTGGGCCAGTGCGTGAGGGCGCGGGGGGCCGTGTCAGCGAGACGCAGAGCGCAGCCGCCACCAGCAAACGGACATGTTGGAGCCCAGCGCCGCCGCCGCCTCCTTTTCCTCATCCTCCGAACGGGACTGAGAGGGGGCCCGCCACCCTCCGCCTCTGCCGCCCGCCCCGCCGCCTCGGCCTCAGCCTCTTCCTGCCCGGCCTCTGGCTCCACCGCTCGTCGCTTCCCCCCCGCCCCTCAGGCCCGGCCGGTTCCCGGCCCCGCTCCGCCGCGGCGCGAGGTCTATGTGACCGGCGGGCCCGGAGCAGCCGCCGCCGCAGCGCGAACATGGACGCCGTCAACGCCTTCAACCAGGAGGTGAGGAGTGCTCGGGGCTAGGGGGTGCCGGGCCTGCCGCGGGAGCCGGGGCTCCGTTTCTCCCGCCGCCGGAGGTTTAAAGCTTTGGTCGGGGTGGGGACGCTTCCTGCCCGGGTTCCGGGGCGGCGGGGCCTGCGCGCAGCGGCCTGCGGTCCGGGAGAGGTCGCGGCGGCCACGGAACCGACCCCACACCCCTCCCCCATCGCCCACCCCCGGGCGGCGACCTCGGGCTGCCCCCTCGCCCCCTTCCGGCCTCCCCCAGCCCGCGTCTGCGCCGGTGCCTCTAACTTCGCCCTCTTTCAGGTCCGGGCGCTCTCGCTCTCTGCTCCCAGCCCCGTTACTGGCTTCGCAGTGCCGGGAGCCCGCAAGGGGCTAAGAAAGAAGCGCGGGCGGGCGTGTGGGGTTGGGGGCGGGGGAGCGGGAGCATCTGCCGGTCGCTGGGCTGGCGGAGCAGCGGCCTCGGCTCTCCTGTTGCTCAGGCCGCGGCGCGGCAGCGGCTGGACTCTGATCCCGGGTCGGGGAGGAGTTGGAGAGGGTGTTCATCCCCTTCTCCCGGGATTCACATACGTGGGAAATGGGGTTCCCAAATGAAGAGGGGTGGCTCCTTATCATTTCCAGTCATGCACACAATCCTCTTAATGGGCTCGGTGGCCCCAACGTGACACCTAAAAAGTTGAATGGGAGAGGAGTACTTGCTCCGCCTCAGTCCGGTAGAAAGCCGGCTTTGGCCTCCAGTCCCCCACCCTCGCACTCCTCCCGCGGTAGTTAATCCGCGGCTCCCTTCTAGGGGAACATTTACATGTGAAAACCTCCCCAAACCGGGAACAAAGCTGCCTGCCGCCTTAAAGCTCTATAGTTTTATCTCAAGTCTGATTCCAGGTGCTGTTTTTGGAGCGTAGAGTCCACACGTCCTCTTCATCAGAATCGATTTGGGGAGAGGGGACTTGACCATTGGTGATTTGAAATACAGTTACAGAATGGAAACTTGTCATAGGTTGAGTTGGATTATTTTCCTTTTCCAAACACTGAAGATAAACCCAACATTGAAAAAGTGAGATGTAGTGCTGTAGCTCTAGATGTCTTGATACGGCGTTAAAAACTTGCATCTCACAGTAAGGTTTTGTAATTTCACTTGTAACAGAATTAACGTGCGGTAACTTTCCTTTAGATTTGCAGTCCCGTAATGTGGGATCTTCCAGCAACACGGCAGTTAGGATCTTTTATTGCCTTACAGATTATCCTAGAAATGATTTGTCTTTAACCGATGGGTGCATAAAATGTCTTAACTGGAGTAGCAACTGGTGTTGGACAGTGTGATGATTTTCAAAATAACGAAATAACATTTCCTAATATTTGATGGCTAGAGAATTTCTGATATTGCTCCAAAGATTTCAGGTCTGGAAGTTGACTTGGTTTCTTGAAGGCGAAGTTTACTTGGAGTGTTGGCTCCATGAGGGCAGGGAGTTTCTGTTCTTTCCTCCTCCTCTCACCATAGGAGGCCAATATGCGTTGAATGCATGAGAATTTTACAAATGGTACAACAGTTTTTAAAAATTATAAGTACATTTCTTTCCCAAGATAAAACCTTATTGACTCTTTTTAATGTCAACTTATAATGAAGAAGGGGATTTTTAGAGTATTCTCAAGATCAGAAGTATTTAATTCTGAGTTAAGCAGTGTGGAAGTTGACAGTAAGCACATTAAGCAAAATATCTTACGTTCTGGAAAAGTGTGATCAGGAGTTTTTACTTTGAAAAACAAAAATAAGGTAGGATACTGATTTCTCAAAAAAGGGAAATGGTATTTTAACCTTTTTAAAATGTACAAAATGAGAGTTTTCCTGTCATTATTCACCTTTCTGCTCAAATTTTTATTTCCATTCCTACTCTTTATGAACTGCAAATTACATTATGTTAGGTGTGTGTTGCCAGTTCTGATTTCTGAAGAAACTTTCTTCTGGAGAAATTAGTCTGACTTTAAAATTCATCTTCTTGTGTTGTTTGATTTGTAGTCCTTCTCGGTTATAACTCCCCATTCATGAAATGTTATTGGTTAGTTTCTTGTAACCTCAAATCTCCCAAGTCTTACTTTAATTCTATAAACTTTTAAATGCGTGCTCAGCTACAAAGCTTTGTCCTGAATACTGTGGTACTACCAAGGATCTCTGTCCCCTAGGAGCCTGATCTAATAGAGGACACAAGACTTAGGCAAATAACTTTAACATGTGATAGAACAACTTCCTTTGGGGCTCTTAAAAAATACCCTGGGATGGCTATGGGGGATCAGTGAAGACTTGGGAAGAGAAGGTGGAGTAAGTTTTAGGATTTCAGAAGGTGTAGAAAGTAGTGATTGAAGGGCAACAGTGCTGAGGAGTGAACAGTAGTTTGATTCCAAAGGCTACTGGAAAGTAAAGATGGTTAAGTAATTCGGGGCCTGACAAGTTTCATGTCTGTCTAATGTGTTTAAATTTCACTTTTAGGCTCTGGATAAACTGAAGGCTTTAAGTAGTGGGGTGATATAATCAAGAAAACTGCTTGATTTGTATATATTGTAGAAGGCAGAGATTTGAGGAAGATTGGCATTTTGAGGACTGAGGTAGAATTGAGTAAAATCTGAACTTGGCCTGTCTATAGTGGTAGGGAGAGGAGGGATCCGTGGACCTGCCATCTGAAAGGCTAATAAGCTCCTTTTGCCCCCACATTCTAGGTGCTGGGAAAGTGGTGATGCTGCTCTCACAAGTCAGGCAGTTAGCATAAGCATATTTAGTGGAAGAGGAAATATGTTTGGTTTTTTAACAGGTTGAGATTGAGTGGAAAAGTCAACGTGGAAATTTTTGGCAAGCAGTTGGGCATGTAGGACTCAAACTTGGAAGCAACCAAGAAATAGAGGAAGACATATGGGAGTCACTCTCAGATGTGCCCTGGAGAAAATTGAGGGGGGGAGAAAAGGAATTAATATTTAATAAGCATCTATGGCGTATCAGGCATTTTATAAATACGTGTCTGATATTCCCACAACCTTGCACAGACATCCATTTATAGATGAGGAAACTGATTTTCAAAGAAGTTAAATAACTGGCCCAGGGGCATACTGTCAGCTAATGGTAGCGCTGGGATTTGAATGCACATCTCCCCATCTTAATTGCTGCCTAAAGATAATATTTTGTATAATACAGTTACAGGTTACAGGTTAAGACTTAAGAAAACTACTAAAATTTGAGAGTAATGGAATCTGAAGTTTAAGGTTGAGTGGTGATGAAGGAGATAAGGAAATAAAGGTCACAAATGTAGTCTTTTTTAGAAGTTTGGTTGTGAGGGATTTAAGGACAAAGTTGCCTCAAGAATGAAGGGAAAGAAGAGCAGTTAACAGGGTAGGAGGCACTAGTGGTAGGCCATTTGTATGTTTGTATAGCATATATGTGATCTTAGCCTTAATAAGTGATGTTGAAGCCCTGGTCTCAGGAGTAGAAGTTTGAGCATGTTGGGGGAGGGTAAGTGTAGAGAAGCACAGTTTAAAAATAAAAGGGCTTGCTTGGAACACAATTGTGGCTAAAAGGAAGGGTACAGATCAGCACGGGTAAAAGAGGTCAGTATCTCTGATACAGGAAGGAAGATAAAAAGAATGAAGTTATTAAAGACACCCTTTAAACAGGAGTTTTATGGTGAGACGCTTTGTTAAGTGTTGTAAAAAGATGAGTGAAAAAAATGAGTGACTAATTATAGCCAATACTTGTTTTCTGCTATGTTTATGTATTCCTTAATGTGAAGAGTTTGGTATTTTGTAAGTTTGTTGAATGAATGAAAGTTACAGATTGGTTAATCCATTGATTTCATTTTTAGCCTTTAACCAATCTTTTCTAATCCCAACAGATTGTATCTTCCCACACTTTTGGGAGGGGAGCAGCATTTATGATTTTAAGACTTTTAATTAGGGGCAGCTGGGTGGCTCAGTCGGTTAAGCATCAGACTCGATTTTGGCTCAGTCCTGAGATCAAGCAGGTTGGGCTCAGAGCTCAACATGGAGTCTGCTTGAAATTCTCCCTTTCCCTCTGCCCCTCCCTGCATGAGCGCAGGACACCTGTACTTACTTGCTCTCTCTAAAATAAAATCTTTTCTTAAAAAAAGACTTAAAGTATAAGAAAGTGCAGAGAAGATATAACAAGAATGGACAGTTGTTACTATTATAAGTGTTTTTAATTTAAGCTTAAAGTATTACAAGTTAAAGTCCTTTCCTCCCACAGAGGCAATCAAAATGCATTTAGTATCAATCACTGTGGTACATAAGCAGTATATAATCTGTATTTTGATATGCATAAGTGGTATATATACTCGTGGGGTTTTTTTTCTCAAACGTTGTTAATATTAAGATTTCATTCTAATGCTGGGTAGTATGCCATCATTTGAATAAACCATATTTTACTTATCTGGTTCCCCAGTTGATGAACATTTAAGTTGCTTCTCAGTTATTGCTGACAAACACTGCATGAACTTTCTCAAACATACCTCCATTGTATAAGAGTCTCTCTGGGGCAGCTGTTCTCAAACTTTGGATTTTGACTCCTTTAACTCTTTTTTTTTTTTTTTTAAAGATTTTATTTATTTATTTGACAGAGACACAGCGAGAGAGGGAACACAAGCAGGGGGAGTGGGAGAGGGAGAAGCAGCCTTCCCGCCGAGCAGGGAGCCCGACACGGGGCTTGACCCGAGGACCCTGGGATCATGACCTGAGCCGAAGGCAGACGCTTAACGACTGAGCCACCCAGGCGCCCCTTGACTCCTTTAACTCTTAAAGGTTAAGGACTACAGAGAGCTTTTGTATCTGTGGATGATACCATATATATATAATATGTCTTTGGGATATTTATCATCTTAGAAATTTAATCTGAGAAATACATTTATTGAAAATCACAAATCCATTATATTTTAACATAAATAACATTTTAAATGAAAAATAATGTTTCCCCCCCCAAAAGTGAGAAGAGTGACATTGTTTTATATTTTTGCAAATCTCATTTAAACTTTGGTTTGTAAACCTGGATTCTCATATCTACTTCTTTATTCAGTCTCTTGTAATTAGACACATCAGGTAGCCTCTGGAAAACTTTGCTGTACACTTGTGAGAAAATGAATGAAAGGGGCAAGAAATGTTTTAGTATTAAAATGAAAACAATTTTTACCTCACAGACCACTGAAAGGAACTCAGACTCCCAGGGATCCTCAGATTATTTTTAGAGAACTACAGCGCTGAGATACTGAGGTGGTGTACATACAATGTTATGTTGAAGTGCAGGAAGAAAATACAAGAACTTTAACATTCATTTTTATTTTTAAACTCAGATTAAGCTTTATGAATATTTTATGTATGAATTTATGTTGGTACACTTACCACTGGGCTGTCAGTCTTGAACCACCATATTATCCTGAAGGAAGAGTTGTGTTCCACATATCAGCGGGGAACTTGCCACCCCTTTCTTTTCCCACTGGAAATTTTTGTGTATGGACTATCGTATGTTTTACCTCTTGATTACTAGGTATGGTTATCTTCCAGAATTTAAATCAGATGATGAAGATACTTTAAGTATTTTTTTCTAAACCTGTTAATGTTCGTCTTTAGTTGTTCTTGATCATTTCCTTCCAAGTCTATCTAAAGCAGTGGACAAAGAGTTGACACAAGATTCTTAACTGTGTGAAAGAGATGTAGAGGACCAGGCCACAGTTGAAGTAAAATTGAAGGTTTTTTTCTTGCCTCATTTGACCATGTTATGCTGTTACCACAGGAGTTTTAGATACTAAAAGTTATCATGGTATTCCTCTGCTCTTTCTCGACTCTCAGAGAATTGCTTATCTCCAACAACAGTAGAGGTCTGGCCTTACGGTGAATGTAATAATGCTGGCTCTTCAGAGCTTTCTGTTGCAGCATTTATCACTGATGTTCTTGTTGAAAATAACCTCTACCCTAGAATTCTCACATTTCATTTAGTATTTTGTTTCAGAAAAAATTACATGGACACATGGTAAGGAGCTAATTCAGAGAAAAATTGGAGTAATGGAAAAGTTGGCTTATAAATCTTGTGAAACAGGGTTCAGGACATAAAACTACCTGGCAGAAAGTTGACAAATGGTAGTTGGTATTGGGGCAGGGTGTTTTTTTTGCCAGATATAAATTGTAGGTTCTCTGCCATGGAACCCAAGTGAATATAATTACTTCAGCATTCCAGGTAACTTGTGTAGATATCTGCACACCTTGAAGTCTTGTTTTAAAATATGTTTTGGTAACATGGTAGGAAAAAAGTTCTTACATAAATGATGGACCCTTAGTATTGTTCATAACATTTGTTGAGATAATATGCCAGATTTTTTTTTTAAGCATACTTCAGAGCAACGGCATACATCTTTAATGATGAGCTAAAAACAAGCTACACGACGTTATCAGCTATGTAGAATAAGCAGTTTGCCCATTATTCAAATTTTTGGTAACATTAGTTGATTAATACTCTTTCTATGGAACAGGAAAAAGTAGAGTTTGGTAGTAGTTCAGCTTGCCTTAGGACTAGGCCTTGAAAAGATCTGTTGAAAGCTTAGACTTCAAGAGACGTGTCTGCATTTCTCTGTTAATATTATGTGTGATTAGCAGTGTACTATCACGATTTTTTGTTTCTTGTTTTTTTTGAGAACTATTAAGATTTCACAAACAGTATTATAATTTATTATACCCTGGTCACCTTCGTCCTATTAAGTATTTGCATGGTTTATTGATTACATTTCATTGCTTTATAGCTAGAGCTCTTTATTGGTCCTTGTGAAGGCATAAATATAGAAACTTTGATATTCCAGTGAAGCACATTGTACTGATTAGTAGTGAATTTGCAAGAAATCCAATGTAACTCTGGAGTGAAGTTAAGAATTAGAAGCTAAAGTTTTGATGGAGTCACGGGGTGGGTAGTGGGGGAGACGGCAGGGCTCAGTGAAAAGTAGAGGGCCATCCAAGTTCTTCTGAAAGTTATAATTTGTGTTTGGATAATTGGTGATTTTGGTATAAACCTATGTGGGTCAGTAATCCTAGTTGGAAGAGACTGTAGAGCAGTGGCACACCTTGCATATTTGACATCCAGAGCACAATTTTTCTTTTTAATACATCCCTCTGCTACAACAAAATTAATTCCAGAAATAATCATGAGAATGGCCAAGAAAGAAACCTGAACTTTATGCCGGTTGCAAATATATATATACAACAGTGGAAAAAAGTTAATATTTTTAAATTGCATTGATACTTTTTTTGAAAAGCTTACCTACATACTGGTCTGTCATATTGACTTACTATGATATTCCAGTTTCTTTTCAAGCCTTACCTTCTGCATATTTGTTAGTGATTGTCAAGATGATCTTCACACATTTGTGTTCCGTAGACAGTTATAGCCCGCTTGATCAGTCTTCACCCATAATTGATTAAAGAATACTTTTTATTAGTTTTAATTATGAAAAGCTGTATATAAAGCAACAGACATACACTAGTTAGGGAGCCTTAAATATAAGTTAACCTTTGGTTAGAAATTTAGGAAAAAACCACTTCACAATAAATCTAAAAATCTAGAATGTCTTTCCACATTGATTGTAGTGACTTTCAAATGTCTCCTCACTAAAAAAAAAAAATTCACTGAAATGTTTCCACCGAAAAATTCAGTATAGATTTCTATTAGTTAAACATTCTTTAAATTATGTGTAAATGTCTACTTCCTTACATTTTGTAGAGTAGTAATGGCATTCTCCATGATTTTTATTCATGGATCTTCAAGCTCTGTGTTCCACTATACTGTTGCTCAGGGCTGATTCTGGCTGTTTGTAAATATTTATACCAGAAAAATAGATTTCAGAAAGAAGAATTGCACTCAGCTATCGTATTTTGAATGTACTCTTTAAACACATACACACACGTATATTGGAACCACAGGATTGGAGAAAGAAACAGCCTAAGTGCAGGCTATCCTAAATCTCTTTGTAGTGACTCTCCAGATGAACAGGTATGGTGAATCTGCATATTTTGGGCACTCACCACATAACTGGAGGATTTCCTAATGAATTTCCACTTAGAATAGATGGCTTAATAGAGGATATGTAGTAAAAGTGTATAGATTTGATGCTTATATATTGTTAAAACTTAAGTCACCACAGCAATAGATTAAAACTTAAGCATCTCAGTCAACAACATATTTTAGGGGAAGGAATATTTTATACGTGATATTATTTAGAATTGCCAGTGCTTAGTGATGCTAAAAGGATGTCAATTTTATTAATTGTATTTAGAGTCTTTAGAGACAATTTACCCACTGATTGCCTGACCTGTATTTGCTTCTCCCATTGTCCCACTGTTACCTTAGAGAGCAGTAGTTGACCAACTCTGTAGTCTGTAAATCTCCTTCTGCAATATTTATTATATATCTTTATGCATTTTATCATGATTATTCTACTTTTTTCCCCCTTTTGACTTTGTCAGAGCTGAGTTTTAGCTGAAGTAGAATTATACCCTGCTGAAAAGAAGCCTATAATATGGAAATTTACAGTAATACGCCTTTTAAGCCTTTAGGAAACAAAATATTCTTTAGACTTTAATGGCCATATATCACCTCGTTCACCTTAATTAAGAGATGCTGAATAATAAATCCCTTTGGAAAGGACAGCCAGGTTTGGGGTTCATTGGAGATATGTTCAAATCTTTATAAAGGCTTTAATTATTGTTTAATGTCAAAAATAGGCAAATCCATAGAGACAGATTATTGGTTGGTGGCAGGGAGGAATGGGCATGGAATTTTTTGGAGGGGATTAAAGTATTCTAAAACAAAATAGTGCTGATGGCTGCCCAACTCTAAATATAATAAAAACAAAAACAAAAAAACACTGAATTGTATACTTTAAAGGGGTGAGCTTTATGGTATATGAATTATATCTCAAACCTGTTTAAAAAATAGGAAAACGTTAGTTTTTAGCACATCATTTCCATTGTTTTGTTGCTTAATCTGATTTTCTTTCCATTGAAAACAGTATCTAGTAGCTACCAAGAGGCACTGTAAATTATTTTGTTGATCCTGAATCGTAAGTTTGTTTTATAGGGTATCTTTAGTTTTTACATGCTATTTTAAGTAATCCAATGGGGACAGTTCAGGGGAAGGACAGGAAAGGAATCCTGCATTTGCTCCTTAACCCACCAGCCAGATGCAGCTAATGGGCTAAGAGTTTTATATAGGTGTGTCTTTCCATTCTTTTCATTTTAAAGGTAAGGAAACCGAAGAGGTGGTGTGAATTGACCAAGGTCACACCGTGTAGAAATGGCAGTTCGGAGATTTGACTGAGTACTCTGAGTACCCATCTGAGCCCAGTCCATAGCCCCACACAGTTGTGCTGAAGGTTTTTGAGCAGTGGATCTTTGTCTGCTGGAGTGTTTATGAGAGGAGAGGGATCACTAACAACTTTTGTACATCTGAAGCATGGTTGCAAGTGCACCAAAATGTATACTTTTGGAAGGATTTGTAGAAGTTTAAGAATAATGAAGTTTGGTAAGTTTTTAAGTCATGCATAGATAATCCATATTTAAAACTTAAATGCACTTTTAGGCCTTTATATTTCTTTCACTAATTTATATTCACAATTAAAATTTTAAATTGATTGAGGATTTAATAAATGCTAACATTTTCAATTTTAGTCCCATACTTGCGCATAAATCCATTCATGACAACTTTGTGGAAATAACTGGTTATAAATGAGATACATTAAGTATGGGATAATTTTTCTTTTTTCTTCTAATCAAACAATTTTATATCCAGAACTGATTTTTCTTTTTTCTTTTTTTTTTTAAAGATTTTATTTATTTATTTGACAGAGACATAGCGAGAGGGAACACAAGCAGGGGGAGTGGGAGAGGGAGAAGCATGCTTCCCACTGAGCAGAGAGCCTGATGCGGAGCTCGATCCCAGGATCCTGGGATCATGACCTGAGCCGAAGGCAGACACTTAATGACTGAGCCACCCAGGCGCCCCTAATTTTTATTTCTTCTGTTGAAGTCTAGGAGGAAATATTTAATTCACAATTTTTTTTTTTTTTTTTTTAAAGATTTTATGTATTAGAGAGAGAGCACAGGCAGGGGCAGAGGGAGAAGGAGAAGCAGGCTCCCTACTGAGCAAGGAGCCCAATGCAGGGCTCCATCCTAGGATCCCGGATCATGACCCAAGCTGAAGGCAGACGCCCTTCACAAAAATGTTCTGTAGCCAATTTGGGGGGATGTAAAGTTCACTAGTGAGGCACAGTAAAAGTAATTTTGCAATCTGGAATCTGCTGGTAGAGCAATGGCACAGATAAAATATTTGCCATTTCTTAAAATCACCTGCCTATTTCTTGATCAAGTGAAAAGAAAGAAGTGGAGGATTGATTGCAATTCGGTGAACCAAAATGTAGCTAAGGAATAGAAAAATCGTTGTCCTAAGCTGGAACTGAATGGGTTAAAAGCCCTGCTAAAGAGAGGCAGCCTTGGTTCTTTTTTTTTTTAAAGATTTTGTTTATTTTTATTTATTTGACAGAAAGAGAGAAACAGCATGAGAGGGGATAGGGTCAGAGGGAGAAGCAGGCTCCCCGCCGAGCCGGGAGCCCGATGCGGGACTCGATCCCAGGACTCCGGGATCATGACCTGAGCCGAAGGCAGTCGCTTAACCAACTGAGCCACCCAGGCTCCCGAGGCAGCCTTGGTTCTAAAGTGAAAAGTTTTGAGTGAGGGGCGCCTGGTTGGCTGGGTGAGTAGAGCATGGGACTCTGGATCCTGGAGTTGTGAGTTTGAGCCCCAGCTTGGGTGTACAGATTATTTTTAAAAAAATTTTTGGGTAAAGGGTAGATTCTTGGAAATGATAGGAGAGTTAGTTTTAAGTGAAGAATAAGTTAAGGACATAGTTTACAGAGTAAGTTGTGAGAAATTAACTGCTTAGAAAATTAGTTCTGCCAGCAGCAAATGGTGACAAATAGGGCTTGGTGATATAATTAAGAAGTGGGAATAATGCAGATGATGTTTAAACTGTTGTTTGCCATATTCTGTTTTCTTTCTTTCCTTTTTTTTTTTTAAGGTTTATTTATGTATTTTAGAGAACTCCAGAGCGCTGGCGGGAGGGGCAAAGGGAGAGGGAGACAGAGTTCCAGGTGGACTCCCCGCTGAGTGCAGAGCAGACTCAAGACCCTGAGATCACGCCCTGAGCCAAAACCAAGAGTTGGGCGCTCAACCAACTGTACCACCCAGACGCCCCTGCCATATTCTATTTTCTTAATGTACATAGAAATATAAGTAGTTAACTCAAAAGTAGTTTTGTATTTAATATTAATGTTCTTTATTTGCACTTATAGATGTGTATTTTGTAAAGCATTACTCCAAATTCTGGAACTAGGAGAAAAGTTGGAGAGTTTGTAGGAGGATGTAGTAAGGTAAAGCATATAGGAAAAGTATGAAATTTTTTTTTTAACTTGAGAATATTCTGTGCAGCTGTGTTGTAAAAATATCTGGTTAGGGATCTTTAGAAATCTGAAAAGTGAATTTTGTGGAGAAATAAATGGAACTATTTTCTAGTGTTTAAGTCAAATGAAAGACTGCTCAGTAGGAGCAGGGAGACAATGGTTTCTTTTTCCTCACTCTTTGTTTTAAAAGGCCTTGTACATTTGCTCCATCTTAGGAATATTTCATATTAATGCCAGACTGTCTTGTCTCTTTAGACCTTCGTCTAAGCAAGTTTTGAAAATTGGTTAAAACATGTGGGTTTCAAAGGACTTTTGACTCTATGGAAGTCAGAATTTGCTTGGCAGTAAAGTATGTCAGTAATTAAAGGGATTCTTTAATGTGCAGAGGTCAGCAAAATACAAAGATAGTGATTTCTCAAATTTGGGTTTTATATCCACAAGGGCATCAGTTATTATAAGGATTTAAAGGGGCAAAATTTTAAGTTTATTTTAAAAAATATGTTTAATAATTTTGAAAAATTTTGGTAACTGTTAACTTCAAAGACAAGGTTTAATCCATGAATAAGATATATCTGATAATGATGGTTCTGTGTATTTATTATATTTATTTTATTATATTTATAATCAAAAGTTGAGAAATGCATTTTTGTCTCAGACACAAAGTTTTTGATTTTTAAAATCAATGGATTTTAATTTTTTTCCTTTTAAAATTAGTGCAAGTTATGTAAAATTAAATTAGGAAATAAAAGAAAATACCATCCCACTGAATAGCATTAACATTTTATAGTGTTTTAGTCTTTTTCCCCTTCCACTTGTGTTTGGAAATTTTTATATGGCTACCAGATCTTTTTAATAACAAGAAATTATTTTCTAATTTTAAAATAGTCATGGAAGATTTGAGCACATACGATTATTGTTTTAGATAAACTTCTAGAAGTGGAATTGTTGGCTTAAAAGATAAGTTGTTTTTGTTTTGTTTTGTTTGTTTGTTTTTAGTTCTTGATATATAGCTTTAAATTTCCTTTTGAAATTAAAACTCCCCAATTAGGTCTCATCAGAAGAGGGCTCTCTTTGCTTGATGCTAATCTACATTCATGCAGGTTAGACAATTGAAGAATTGTATCTCGTTTTAGTTTGTACTTCTTTGATTATTGGTAAGGATGAACTTTTTTTTCTGTTAATTGGCTATTGGGGTTTCCTTTGTTAATTGAGTTACTTTTCTGTACATATTTTTCAATTTTACTGTCTCTTACTGTTTGTACATGTTCTACTTTCAGGTAAAACGGCAGAGTTGGTAGAATGGCATTGTTCATGTGATTGGTTTGCAATTGTCTGTACTTCCCAACCCATTCCCCATCATGTCAAATTGCCCAGTATTAAGAAAGTATTAGTTTGAACAAACCTTTGGTAAAGTGTATTTAAGGCATAAAGTGAAATGCCATGTAAAAGGAGCTGTTAACTATCCCTTCCCTAATTGTTCTAGCAATATTTTATAGAGTTGTCTTCAGGCTGTAATTAGATGGACAAAAGCATCTTTGCAGGAAAAATGATCTTAATTTTTTTTCCTAATTGTTTCCTTTTGTTAAGAAATGCAATGTGTACTTTTATAAAGTGTTTATATGTTAATAAACATTAAAGTTATGTTGGATTTAACTCCTTGATTTGGTTGAAACCCATGTGTCTGATAAATTGAGTCAAATGAATGAAACAGGAAAAAAGACTAGAATTAATTGCTCTGATATCTGCATCTGTCAGTAGGGAGATTTGAGTACCAGCATGTCATTGTCAATGTACATTGACAATGTACAATGTACATACAATGCTTCCTTTTGGAAGCATTCATATCTTTTCTTTAAAGTTTGTAAATAAGTATTAATAACACCAGCTTAAGGCAGAATTTGTCATCTTGGAGGTAGTAATAGCAAGGAAGGAGTACTGCGTATATAATCAGTATAATTCGTTATAAAATAAATTCAGGAAAACAAATTTTTTAAAGTTTAGGGGGGAAAAAGATAGAGGTAAGTATTCCATTGAAAGATTCCTAAAGGAAACATTGAGGGATTAGGTAGGGGTTAGAAGAATTATTTAGACTAATATGGTCTTCTAATTCTTTTCACTGCTTTTCCTATTTCAAAGAATAGGAAATGGCACATTCCAGAAATCGAAGACTCAATGCTAATAACTTTTATCTTTGCTGGTTCTGTTTGTTTTATGAACTTCTAGAAATTTCTAATCTAGGAGCCAGAACAGATTCATTAACAACTCCATAGCAGACCAAATTAAACTTTTTTCTTTTGTGAAGTGTTTTATCTAGTAAGGACTATAAACCAAATATTTCAGAAAGATATTTGTCATTATTTCATCATGAATAAGTTAGAAAAATATAGGCAGGATGAGAGTATTAAGTGAATTTGAGCTGACAGGCAGTGTCCAAGGAATATCCAGGTCATCCCACAAGTAGGTCCTGTTCTTACTAATTTTTAAAAAACCATTGAGTTGGAAGAAGGCATATAAAGCACATTCATGAAAGTTCATGAAATTTATAAGCTGATCAGAGTAGCTGCTACATCAAGTAGCAGAAAATTATTTCCAGATGACCTAAGTAGATTGAAAGGACTGTCAGAAAACAACATAAAGTCAATATGAAGATCTAGTTTTGATAGAGATTCCATTGAAAACAGTTTGAGGGTTTTGGTTCATTATAGGTGTGAGTTAACAATGAATTAAGCACTGTTTTGTTTTTGTTTTGTTTTGTTTTTTAAATAATGTTCCAGGGACCCTGGGTGGCACAGTAGGTTAAGCGCCCAACCCTTGGTTTCGGCTCAGGTCATGATCTCAGGGTTGTGAGATGGAGCCCTGTGTTTGGGCTCCGAGCTCAGAGAAGTCTACTAAAGTTTCCCTCTCCCTTTTCCTCTGCCCATTCCTGCCCACACGCGCGCTTTCTCTCTCTCAAATAAATAAATCTTTTAAAGAAAGAAGGAAAGAAAAAGTTCTTCCCTATCCACTTCAGACTCCTAGAACTTATTATATGTTGCCTTACTTTGCAGATCTGATTGGGTTAAAGATCTTGGAAGGGGTTAATTATCCTGAATTATCTAGATGAGCACAGTGTAATCCCAAGGGTCCTTAAACGAAAGAGGGAGGAGAGTCAGAAAGTGATGTGACAGCAGAAGCACAAAGGTAAGGGAGAAGATGCTACCCTGTTGGCTTTGAAGATGGAGGAAGAGAAAGACCAAGAGCCAAAGGAATGTAGGCACCCTGTAGAAGCTGGAAAAGCCAAGGAATGTATTCTGCCCTAGAGCCTCCAGCACCTGCCGGCACTTGAATTCAGACTAGCGAGATTCTGACCTCCAAAACTGTAAGATAAGTTTGTGTTGTTTTTAAGCTAAGTTTGTGGTAATGTGTTATTGCAGAAATAGGAAACATTAAAAAAAAAAAAACCAATTCACTAGATTCCATTAACACAGTAATACATCTGGACGATGTCCATTTGGGGATATCATACTTAAAAGGAATAGCCAGGGTAGATGTAGAAATACCATTTCACTAATAGTTGAAGAAGATAGTTGAGTGGGAAACATGTTTAGTTATCTTTAAATATTTTATTGTGTAGGAGAGATCACTATTCAGAATTGGAACAGGAGAGAAGGTACCAGAAGGGAGATTGGGGGTTAGTACACAGGAGGCCTCTGTGACCATTGGAGCTGATTAGTTATGAGTTATTAAGCCTTATGTCATTTGGCAGAAGCTGTAGATATAAAAGTAGTTGTAAATTTGGTTTAAGTACCAGATTAGGTACAAAGGTGCTGTACGGCTTTAAGGGTTTTTGATACTATGGTATTGTCACTGTAGAGAAGATTTCTCTAAATGCAGTGTTTGAAAAGTAGATGTAATACAAAAAAGATTATTATGGTAAGGCATAACAAAAAATTAAGCTCAATGTGTGTGTAAAGATTCTCAGGGCGTTGTATAGCTTTATTTAGTGAGTCACTTAGATGTCAGGTACTAGGCTGAGATTTATGTGTATTACCTCATTTAATCCTAATAGCCTTATGAAATGTATACTGTTAATCCCCCTTTTCATATTTAAAAGATCCTTGAAATTTAGAGAGGTTAACTAAACTTCTCAAAGTTTATACTGTTAGTAAATAGCAGATTATCATGTTAACTTTGACTACCTCAAGCTATGAATGCAATAGGTGTCACAGGCCAAATATTCTCATTCTTTACCTTCTCTTGAAACTATTCCTTATTGATATAAGGGATCGTGAGGAATGATCCCTTTGTGTATCAGCCTTCTCTGTATGTCATATAGCAAGACTGTGTTCACATTTATACTTTCTGTAGTCACTCAGCTAGTGACAGAGCAAAAAGCCAAACACATCTGTTCCTGGCAAGTATATTTTTCTACTGATGCCTTCCAAGGGGGTCTTGTACCTTTTTCGGCCTACTGCTGGTTCTGCTATTTTGTATGAGAATTGCATGGGTTTCTCTGACTGCTTTGACATACTTGCTTTCATCGACAGATTACGCTAATTGTGACTAGAGGCTGTAATAGTAGGGAGAGTGCTGCTTCTAGTGATATTTATTGAGCACTTGCAGGTGATACATTAGTCATTCCATCTGCAAAAACTAACTCAGTTCTCATTGAAACCTCTGAAGTAGATAACTACCATGTCTTTTTTACATTTGAGGACACTGCATCCTACAGTATTATGTGATTTGTCCAGAATTGTGTACATGGCTGGACCCAGAATCAAAACCAGGTCTTTCTGACTCTTTCCAGAATACCCAAATATCTGATTTTTTTTTTTTCACTAGTAGAGCTTGTTGGAATTATATTAAATTTTATGGTTCTCACGCTTTTATATAAAGCCAATAGGTTTTTTTCCTTGAGGTTTGTTGGCTGAGATTGGATGTTGGTCAGAAATAACTAGAGCCCAAATTATCTTTACCCCTCTTTCGTCTCTATATGTACTATGTATTCTAAACTTGATTGAAAAATATGAAATTTTTTTCTGACTCGATGGTGCTTTTTTCCCCACAGTTTGTTCATAAGAAATATGTTAATGGCTTAAGGAATCTACTCATTATTGAAAGTTGACAGCAGTTAGTTTGGGCTTTATTTCCCTCATTTCTAAAACAAAAGACTTTTTCTCTGAGTCAGTGCCTTTGACTGTCACCCCTACAGTAAGATTTATAATTTTACATAGGTGTTTTTGCATACATACCCACACAGAAAACTGAGAAATTTCACCAAACAGTACTTACCCTTGCTGTGTACAGTGCTATTTTATTTTTTTACTCTATTCCACTAAAAAAGTTCCATCACACCCATTAAGCTCATTTTTATATTCTAATGTATCTCAGCCCACAGTTTGAAAAACACTTATCTGGATTATTTCCAGGATTCTTTCTCCTTTCAACAAAATTATGTGTGGTGGTAATAATAGGTAATGTCTATTGTGTACTTACTCTGTACTAGGTGCTGCATTAAGTGCTTTTTATATGTGTTGTTTGTATTAAACTTCCCTTAATATAAGTAGGGACTATTATTTTCATTTTACAGATGAAGAAACAACTTCTCATAGCTAGCAGGTGAGGGAGTCAGGATTTCCCAGACAGTTGATTATTGATCTTGTGTTCTTATCATTACTTTAACAGAAATTTATTGTTTTTAAAAGTTCAGGAACTATAATCTGAGTCTTAGAGCACCACAAGGTTGTATACTTCTGAGAGATTCCTCAGCCAACATGTCAATTAACTCTTTCGTATCTAAGCTTATTAAATTTCAGCTTTGCTCTAGATCCAGTTAAGGACTTAGTATATTACCTCTGTCTGACTTACTGCTTGGCTGGACATAGCACTCTACCTCTATGTCACTTATTTTTTGTTATTAAAAAAATCTTTGGGTTCAGTCCCTCCATAACAGTTACATATTGGTATACTTTCTTATTTGGATCTACATGCATACATATATGTGTATATATAAAACTTTTTTTATAGTCTATCGTCTTTAATGTCTGTGTGCTATTCATTCCTCCAGGATAATGTATTATAGTATTAATGAAATAATTTCTTTATTGTTAGGTAGTTATTGGAAGGAACTTGAGCTTTGGGTAGTGGTGGACCACAGATTAAATTTACCACCTAATTAGCTTTATGATTTTGAGCAGATTCTTAAGCTTTTATGCCTCAGTGTTCTCATCTGTAAAATGGAATTATAATATCTAACTACCACAAAGGCTATTAGTGTTTCTATTTAAACAGGTAGTGTCAGTGCACATAATTACAGTTAAGATATATCAATTTCAACATAATTTCTGGGTCTCTATATCCAATGAAGGTATTGATCTAGATATCTGGGAACCTTTTTGCCTTGCGAAAGGTAGGGACTGATGAATTTGTACTTTGAAGAAGTCAATAAAATATTAGTAACATTCATTGAGCTTTTAAAAGGTGATTTTTTAAACCTCCAGATTTGAAACTTCCTCTACCTGCCTATAGTGTTGTTTTTCTTTATAAATTATATCAAATACAGATTTTTAGCTTTAAGATTTAAGAAAGGCATTTGTAAAGGAAAGTAAAGAACATCTAAAAAGAAACTTAAATGTGATAGAAACATCGCAGTGCTCGCAAGTTAGAGGTGTTTTAAGGGTCGTCATCTCTAAAGCACTGAAACACGGCTCTGCCTCCCCTATGTACCAGTCACTGAGCTTGACACTTCCTAAGCGCCCAGAAATTTGTTAAATTAATGAAAAATGATCCAAAACTGCATTTCTACCTCCTCACCTGCCACTTCTTTACCAGCTGGACTTTGAAATCACTTTCAAAAGCTGGTATCTGTTCAGCCACCTAATAGTCAAACCAAACAAGGTTTGGTTTGCACCTCTTACCACATTTGACCATGCCAAATGCCTTTAATTTCTGGTATTTGTCCTCGTATTATTCATTTGTGCAACCCCTTTCTCTATACCACAGTGGCATTTTTTATATACCCTCGGTTATATGTTCTTGGCTTTCTTCTTACTACAAATTTCTTCTCATGCATACTCCTGGCTTTGACTCTTTTTTCTAGCCTGGACCTTTTCTGTGTTCAAGATCCATTTTCTCATGTCTGCCTGAATTTCAGTAGGCATCCCAAATTAAATTCAGTATGTTTAGTCATTATCCCTGAGTCAATACTATACATATATATATATGGCACAGATGCCTGCTTGATATTTTGATATTTCCCCATCATAGTTAATGGTTCTCATATGTATTTAATCCATAAGCAGCATTGTATTAAGGATATGAATGTGCTATTAGGCACTGTGAACCTATTATAGGGGCACCTGGGGTATCTCAGTTGGTTAAGCAGCTGCCTCAGGTCCCAGGGTCCTGGAATCGAGCCCCCATGTCAGGCTCCCTGATCTGCAGGGAGCCTGCTTCTCCCTCTCCCTCTGCCTGCCAGTGCCCCTGCTTGTGCTCACTCTCTCTGTCAAATAAATAAATAAAATCTTAAAAAAAAAGGAATTGTGAACTATAAAATCTACAAATTATAGTTTCAAGCCCATTCCCTGGGCATCATCCAAAACAGATGTAAGTAACCCTTTTGAGTATCATCTCAAACAGGTGGAAGAGAATCTGTGTTAAGTTGTTAGTATGATTTTTTTTCTCCCATGTTTTTATTTATTTATTTTAAAGATTTTATTTATTTATTTGAGACAGAGAGAATGAGAGACAGAGAGCATGAGAGGGAGGAGGGTCAGAGGGAGAAGCAGACTCCCTGCCAAGCAGGGAGCCCGATGCGGGACTCGATCCCGGGACTCCAGGATCATGACCTGAGCCGAAGGCAGTCGCTTAACCAACTGAGCCACCCAGGCGCCCCTCCCATGTTTTTATTTAAATTCTAGTTAACACATATGGTAAAATGGGTTTCAGGTGTAGAATTTAGTGATTCCACACTTCCATATAACACCTAGTGCTCATCACAACAAGTGCCCTCTTTAATACTCATCACCCATTTAACCCATCCCCCTCCCACCTCCCTCCAGTTGTTAATATGATTAAATAAAATTATATACCACTAGATTTAATTCTTCCTTACACATCGTAGGCCCTCAGATGTTGATTCCCTCCTCTCTTCCCAAGTGATCCTTTCTTCATGAAATGTTTAATACCCTTTTTACTGTCTCTTAGATAATAGTACTTGAGGGTTCTCTTGCTGGTATTTTGCATGAATGGTTATACTGCTATATGATATAGGCTGTATTTTAATTTTTTTAACAAGTTGTGATTTAAATACAGACTGGAGTATTTTATCCGATGATACATTGGTCTGTTTTGTGTGCTCAGTTGGCTGAGGTTTTTTAATATGGCAGGTTGCCTCCTGCCTCTTGAAGTAATCAAGAAGTGCTATTTGATACATTAAATGAATAGTTTTTGCTTAGGCTTCATGAAAATATGATTCTCTAAGCTTTTAATGACCAGGGAAATAGTTCTCACTGTTGTTCATTCTTAAAGATCATGTATAAACTTTTTTGCATCCCCTTTCTCTACATTAGGGTACAGAGAAGGAAATAGAACAAGTACGTCTTAATAAATTAAAAACAAGTCTTAATAAATTTTATAACATAAATGGTAATATATCCTAAATGCATGCTATATATTTCATGCAGTGTTTACATTTTTAGAATTTGTATTTGTAATATTTTAAATTGTTTTTTCATTTCCCATCAGTTTATATAATCTCAGATTACTGTCTCCTTTCTAATTGTTTTCTGTTAATGAGCATTTATTCTCAAGGATAATTTTTATTACATTGGTAAAGAAATAATAAAGAATCATGACGCTCTTTAGAGAATCACATTTTTAAAAAACAAATTCCTTTGTTAGTATCTGTGTTTCTCCCTTTTTTTTTTTAAATCTTAATATTACCTATGGAAGAATTCTACCTTTCTCTGCTTAAACCAGAGTATCTGGTTCTTGTATTGATTATCTCTGGCGTTCCATGCCTTTTCTAATATTACTGTTACTGTTATCTATAGTCCCATTGTGTCTGTAGTTGTGTGAAAAGCTGTGAAAATTCTCTGAATTTTTAGGATATGTTGCCAAATAGGGCTGTTTACCCTGTGAAAAAAGACTTTTGTACTTAGGTTAGCTTCTTAGTGATCTAGTAAAGATCTGTGTCTTAGAGATTACATATTTGGAGTATCAACATTATTTGGAAAGAAATGGAAATATTCATATAAAGCCCCGAAACTTAATTATTTCACAGTATCTTTTTAGGGGTGCCTGGGTGGCACAGTTGGTTAAGCATCCGACTCTTGATCTCAGCTAGGTCTGGATCTCAGAGTGGTGAGTTCAAGCCACACTGCATTGGGCTCCATGTTGGGGGTGGAGCCTACTTAAAAAAAACCCCACAAATTATCTTTTTAGAAGTCCTAGGGTGAGTATGTGCCCGTGATTAAACGAAATGCAAACGGGCACCTGGGTGGCTCAGTTGGTTGAGTTTCTGACTCTTGGTTTAGGCTCAGGTCATGATCTCAGGGTCCTGGGATGGAGCCCCCACATGGGCTTCCCGCTCAGCCAGGAGTCTGCTGGTCTCCCTCGGCCCCCCTCACCCACCCTGTGAGCACACAAGTGCTCTCTCTCAAATAAATCTTTTTTTTTTTTTAACCAAAACAAAAACAAAAAAGAGAAGAATTTAAGAAGCTAAATATAAGCTTCTTAATGTCAGGATTTTATCTTTGTAACTCTCTATGGGCTTTCGTTATGTCTTGGTTGGATTTAAACTTTGGAAGAAGTATGCATGTGTGGTTAAATCTCATGGGGAGCACCTGATTGTTGGATTTACTGTCATGAGATGTATTAAATATGGTGCCATTTTTGTGCCTGACTAAATCAAGAAGTTGTGAATTCCAGCATTTTAAATTTCTTGCCTAATTTAATAAATCTTTCTCCAAATGACCCTTAGAATTATTTGAAGTTCTCCAAAATCTCAGTGAGGTTTGCATTAAATACTGAGTCATACTATTGCTACTTTCGGTCCAGAAACCCCTGGTATGTTTGCATTCAAATTATTTTTGAGTTCTTCAGTAAAATTTTAGTTTTTTCAGTTACAGGTTTTGTAAATTTCTTAATGTTTTTTCTTTTTTTTTCTTTTTTGCTATTTTTAATATCTTTTCCTATTGTATTTTCTTGGTAGTGATGCAGGTATATAGGAAAGTGCTTGGATTTTCTTTACTAGCTGAATTGTTCAACTTAGTTCCAAAAGTTTGTTATTCTTTTAGTTAATAAATTGCACTATCTTTGTGGAACTGGGGGGAATTGACCTCTAACTTAATTTTTAAATTATTTTTGTTTTTTAAGCTCTTTTCACTTATGGATATGAAACCTCCCATCTCTCGAGCCAAGATGATTCTTATCACTAAAGCTGCTATTAAAGCTATTAAGGTAAGAATAAAATAAATATATTTAATTCGAAAAATGTTTTTGAGATTTTGAAAATATTGTTAAACATGAGAATTCATCGTATTAGTTTAGGCCTGAATCAGAGAGCACTAACTTTTGCTGAAGATACATGTTAATACAGTACAGTATATTTGAACTGTAACATATTATTTCAAAACCTGCTTTTTTCCTTTTTTGTTGTTGTTTAGTATCTCCACTTTATATTTTTCCAGCTTTGTTGAGGTATAATTGACAAAATTGAATGTATTTAAAAATATAATAGAACATGATGGTTTGATACACATACACATTATGAAATGATTAACACAGTCAAGCTAATTAGCACACCTATTGCCTCACATAGTTGCCAATGTGTGTGTGTGTGTGTATCAGAAAGTTGAATTAACAGAAGTAGAGAGTTGAATAAAAGGGGTTTTTTCTTTGTTGTAGTTATTTATTTTTTTTATTTGAGAGAGAGAGGGAGAGAGACCTAGAGAGCACGAGCAGGAGGAGGGGCAAAGGGAGAGGGAGAAGCAGACTCTCTGCTGAGTAGGGGGCCTGACGTGGGACTCCATCCCAGGACCCTGGGATCGTGACCCGAGCCAAAGGCAACACTTAACTGACTGAGCCACTCAGGCACCCTGTTTTAGTTAATTCTTTTCGTAAGTCAGCTGAGTATTAGCTTCATACTTTTATTAAAAAGAAGGAAAAAAAACCAACTCAGACTTCATGAAGTGAAATGTTTTCAAGATCACACCTAAATAGCAGAGTCTCTTTAGAAACTGCATTATTTAGTTCCAGTTCCGCTGTTCTTATCGGTCTCATAAAGTTGCCTGAATACACTACTTTATTAACGTTTATTGATTAAAAATCTAAGAAAAGGACCTTCTTTTTGGGGGGATTTTTGTAGTTTCTGTTTTAGTTAATTCACTTCTGATTTATGATCACTTTTTGACTGGGGATTATTTGTCATGGTTCATTCAATATTTTGAGAATTCAGATTGCAATTTTAAGGTTTTAAGTATTTTCTAATTACATTACCGAATATGTAGAAATAAGTAAACTGTACAGTAATTTTCTTTTAATTCTTTTCAGCTTTATAAGCATGTAGTTCAAATAGTAGAAAAGTTCATCAAAAAGGTAACTATCCATTTCATTATTACATCATTTTAGTTATGATTAGTATTTGTAATTTACTTTGTAAATTGTAATTTGGATGTTTGTTTCTAAGGCTGTTCTACAAAAAAAGTTGTCACTAGGTGTTCTTGTTAGTCTTTTGAGTTTGTTTTTAACAAAACAAAAATCTATAGCAATACTGTTGATTGAGTGCTTAGTATGAGGTAGACACTCAACAAGTTTCCTGTGTACTCAACACGATTCTTGCCCGAGTTTGATGTCTTTCCCGTGCCATTTGCCCTGTCTACTTTGTTGACATTTAACTCATCTTGAAGTATTTCAAGTGAAATCACTTTGTAAAGTTATTCCGGATTTTCCCTGCTGCTATCATAATTAAATCATCTTTCAGTTTTACAGTTGTATCTGGTTTTATAACCATGTGATTAGCACACATCTGTCTCACCAGAGGACTAAGAACAGAGACTTAGACATCTCTATCTTCTCCCCCAACCTGGAGCTGTGCCTTGTAGTACATACCAGTAAATGTGTGTGAATGTCTTTGATCCATGGCCTTTGAATACTAGATGAGAGATAGGAGTTAGAACCCCAACAGACCAAAAAAAGGTCAGTAGAAGTTTTTATAGTAGCAAATCAAAGTACAAATAAGTAAAATGGAAAAAAATTAAAATTACCTACATGCTATCACCCCAAATTACTATATTTATATTTAGATCTACTCATTTTTTATTATGTACATGTACATTCATAAAAAAGAAACTGGTGACTGATAACCTGCTTTTCCCACTGAATTTATCATAAAATGTCTGCAAAAAAGTATTCCATTGCTTGATTGTTTCCACATTTACTCAGTTCCTTTTGGACATTTCACTTCAGTGGCTGGCCTTAAGGAAAAAATTAGATGCATCTTAATGGTTTTCCTTACAATAAATTTCTAGATGTAGAATTGTTGGATCAAATAAGGCTTTGCTTTTATTGCTAAATCATCATCGATAAAGGTTGTACCACCAGAAATATATATAGGTGTATGTTTCTCTTTTCTTCTTGTTAATCATTACTGATAGGCCAAAAATGTGATCTCTCCTTAGTTTTTCTTTTCTCTGGTACTCTACTTTAGTAGAATTAAAATTGATGTTAAAATTATCTTTTTGATGACTTTAAAAGGTAGAAATTACTTTTTTAAGTAGGATGAATTGGAGTAGAGAGTATCATAATAAGTGGATTAGTGTGCAAGTGGCTTAGGGATTGGTAAAGTAATGTTGATTCTGGGAAATTGTGGGGAGGTAGAGGGATCAGAGGAAAGTAAAATACTGGGGGTCTGAAGTATCAAGAGAATTGGTAGTTCTGTACATGCCTGTGGGAAATTTGACATGCTAGCCAATAAGAGAGCTAAACATTCAAGCAGTTTCTAAATAGAAACAATCACTGGATAATACAGAGTTTTATAAAAGGGAGATTAATGTCAAATTGTGATTTTGCTTTTCTTCTATTAACTTTGCATCTTTATCTTTGTAGTGTAAACCAGAGTACAAGGTTCCAGGATTATATGTAATCGACTCAATTGTGCGACAGTCTCGTCATCAGTTTGGAACCGATAAAGATGTTTTTGGGCCAAGATTCTCTAAAAACATAACCGCCACATTCCAATATTTGTATCTTTGTCCATCTGAAGATAAGGTATAGTTAATTTTTAAATTAAAACTTGTATCATTTCTATATTTAAATCTATTTAAATGTATATTATATATTTGAAAGAGAATTATATGGGGATCTCTGTGAACTTGAAATAAAACCCAATGTTTTCTGTTGTGGCCATCTCATGTTTATATATTTTCTTGTGAAATTCTTCTGGAATGTTGTACTGTTGAAAAAGGAGTTGGAAAGATTTACTTGTAGTTGAGTGATAAATTCTGCCATAGAAAAAGGCAGTACTCATCTCATATTGTTGCTTATTCCAGAAAGAAGGGACCAATAATTGATGGCTTTCTCCAGCATTTTAAGAGGCTGGAGCATAAATGATATTCATTAGCAATCAGACTACAGTATTTAATTCCTTATATTTATAGCTGATTTTACTATGTACTATAAAAAGGTAGAAGAACATTACAGACATAATAACTGGACTCCCAGTAGATGGGAGAAGTATACTACTAAATCTACTCAGAAGAATGAAGATATTTACAGTAAACAGTATATATATAAATTTGAGTGTTGTGGATTCTGTATATTCTTGGAGGAGTGTTCTTGTGGGAAAAATAAACAAGAGAAAAGATCATTTCTTGAGTAGGACATGAGTTATTTTTCTTATGAATAACACATCTCTGGATCTCCATCATATTTACTAGGCCATAAAACGACTTACAGACCAGTTTCTTAAATATTTTAACTGTTAATATCATCCTGAAGAAATTCTTCTTCACTTCATTTACTTTTCTAAGACGATTACTTTTTTTGTCAGTGATGGTGTTTCTTTGTGATCATAAATATAATGAAAATGTGAAATACATTTTTTGTTATATTTGTTTTGATTATCTAGGTTATATTTCTTTTTTGTTTCTTCCCCCTTTTCTCCCCCTTCTTTGTTCTTTATTCTAGTTTGTACTACTGAAGAAAGGCTGATTAGGGTAGTTTTAACCAGGTCGTAATTCTAAAGATAAATGTTTTTTTCTGTTTATAAAACGCTTAGAGATTTATTTCTTTATTTATGCAAATATTTATTGTATATTCATGTTTTGTTACACATAACAGAGTAAAATAGTTCGTGTGCTGAACCTTTGGCAAAAAAATGGAGTATTCAAAATTGAAATTATTCAGCCTCTTTTGGATATGGCTGCAGGAACCAGTAATGCCGCCCCAGTAGCAGAAAATGTTACTAATAATGAAGGTATGGCCAAGTGTATCTGTGAACGTAGAAAATGGTATAACTTTTGTGCATGAGAAGTGTGGAGTCTGTTTATATTGGTGGACCTTTTCCATAAGAAAGACATTTGAATTTACATCTTGGAAGATACGGTTTTCTTTCCACAGCTCTTTCATGTATTTGCTATAGTACAGAGTCTAGTACCACGATCTTTATTTTAGTAAAAAAGCTTAATGGAGTTTAAAAAGGGAAATTTGAAGATTAAAGTTTTCGTAGGTCTTAATGACCTTTTCTTTTTTAGGTTCACCTCCACCTCCAGTTAAAGTTTCTTCTGAACCACCCCAAGCCACTACAAACTCTGTACCAACTGTACCACAGTTGCCTAGCTCTGATGCTTTTGCTGCTGTGGCCCAACTGTTTCAGACAACTCAAGGTCAACAGGTAAACTGCCTATCTCAAGATTAAATTCCTTGCAGTTAGGTACTTTTGTCAGTTTTTATTTTCCATTCCTAATGAATGAGCACATTCAAGGGAGGAAATATTTCTACTTTTCACCTAGAAAAGCCTTTACTGGGCAGGTAATGTCATAGGGCTCACAGGGGAAATGTGGGAAAGGTGAGAAATAAGGGAGCCATACACTGAGCAATAGCAATACCCCTGTGAATAGGATTTCAGAACTGGTGACTGGTTGGTATTGTTGCTCATGATTCTAGCATTTCGGATTAACTTCAAAATTATTTGTATTGGAGATGATTTTTACATTTTTCTAGAAAACATTTCTTTACCTTGTTCACAGTTCAGTGTATTTTCTCTTACTGACCATCATTTTCTGCCCGTTGGGGTATCAGCATACGTGTTTAACTTTAAATGACACACATTGTATCCCTGGTATTTACAACAGACTTAACCTTTACCAAAAGGTGTGTTCTTTTTCCAGTTTACTTTGTGCCTGTGCTATTTTGAGTCACCTTTAAGTTTTTTGTTTTTTGTTTTTTCAGTAAATCAACCTTTGATACTATGATTATACTTTGTTATGTGGTTTATCAGTTTTCCCATTCTTTAAGCTTCAGCAGATCCTTCAGACTTTTCAGCAGCCTCCAAAACCACAGTCTCCGGCTCTTGACAATGCCGTGATGGCTCAGGTCCAGGCTATCACAGCTCAGTTAAAGACAGCTCCTGCACAGCCACCTGAACAAAAAGCTGCTTTCCCCCAGCCTGAGCAAAAAACTACATTTGACAAGGTAGGCCAGCTTCTCTTACATAACCCACCTTAACTGTTTATACCACTCAGTTTAGGATATGGAAGTTACTTCTTCTCTACTCACTCTCGGGATTGTTCATTTTGTTGTTCTGTGGTTTAAGGGATTTTTCCCCTTGACAGCAAAACATTGATTATTTTTCCTGGTTATAAGTGTATAATATATACTCATTGCAAAAATTTTCAGTAAATAGGAAGTAGAAAAGTAAACAGGAGAACTTTCACCATTAACCCCCATACTTGGAGATAGCTACTGTAAATTTTTGCTGTGTCTCTCTTCTGAACTAATTTCCTGTGGATATATTTTTCTTTATTTGGTCATGATATGTATATATATTATACATAATACATGCATGTTTTATGCATAATATATAAATACATATACACAGTTTTTAACTTGCTGGTTTTGATCCTAATCCTCTTGTCGGTTGTCATTGTTAAGGTTAATAGATTTAGATCTACCTTTTTTTTTAAAAGATTGATTGATTGATTGATTTGACAGAGAGGGAACACAAGCAGGAGGAGTGGGAGAGAGAGAAGCAGGCCTCCTGCTGAGCAGGGAGCCTGATGCGGGGCTCAGTCCCAGGACCCTGGGATCATGACCTGAGCCGAAGGCAGACGCTTAACGACTGAGCCACCCAGGCGCCCTTAGATCTACATTTTTACTGAGAGCTTATTATGAGGAGTATTCCATTACGTGTACACATCACAGTTTAGCCATTCCCCTGTTGACAGACATTTAAGTTACCTTTTGCTTTTTGCTTTTAGAACTTAGTTACCATCTGTATAACTTGAGGGTTTTGTTGGTTCAGTGTCTTCCAACTGCTCTCTTGTAGGCATGTTTAAGGAGCTGCAACTAAGGATATAGATGTGCTGGATTTGCAGAGCTCAGAGCTTCCTGTAGAAATGTTAACCCAGACAACTCTGTCTTAGCTGTTTTATGTCTTTTCTGTTCATTGGGTTTATGACTATATAAAATTGCATTTTTTCAGTCTCACTGCCAAAAATACAAAAGTTTGAAAACCCTAGAACTAAGTGAAGTCTTTTAGCTTAATCATCTCTAAAATGTTTTATTCTTTCCAGATTTTAATTTTAAGATACAATTTTATTGCTGGTAGTCCAAATTAAGAATCCATTTGGTAAATACTAGTTGTCATTATATCTTAGTGATTTATGAACAACTACTGATTGAAAGAAGTTTGGATAAAATTTCGAGTCGAAAAGGAGTACGTGCTTATAGGGGAAAAAAAACACAATACAGGAAGTTCTAAAGTAAAAAGGGAAGCAGTTACCTGCTTGGAACAGATTTGTGTATGTTCTTTCAGAGTTTAGGAAAACTCCCTACGTACGTATTTTTTTAATTTTATATTTTCTTTTGGTAGTTTTATACTTTTGTTTTTTATGTTTGTCTCTTCATTCCATCTGGAGCCTATTTTAGAATATGGTTCAAGAGAGTTGAATCTTGAACTTTTTGGAAATAGCCAATTCTCACTCACTATTTTTGTCATACATTGAATTCTGAATTCTCATTTGTTTCTGTGTCTATTTGTGGACATTTGGACTCTGTTGTGCCCCACTAATATAATTATTTCTGCATCGTAACAATTTAAATGCTTGCAGTTTATGCACTATATTCTGTATTTCATTTCCAAGTATTAGACGCACGCGCGCGCGCACAAAGGAAAACGGGAGAGGGAGAGATTGGTTGATTTTTAAGGAATTGTTTGACACAGTTGTGGAGGCTGGCAAATTTGAAATTTGTAGGGCAGAAAGCAGGCTGGAAATTTAGGTAAGAGTTAATGTTGCAGTTCTGCGTCTGAATTCTACAGGGTAAGGTTTCTATGTTGCTGTCTTGAGAATTCCTTCTTCAGGAAACCTAAGTTCTTACCCTTATGGCCTTGGCTGAGTGGTTGAGGCCCACCCATGTTATGGAGGATATTTCTTTATTCAAATTCTATTAATTTAAATGTTAATCACATTTTTAAAAGACCTTCACAGGAACATATAGATGACTATTTGACCAAACAACTGGGCACTGTAACCTAGCCAAATTGATACAATTAAATATCACAGCATACTTTTCAAGATGAACTTTAACATAAATTTTAGAATTTATAGGTTAATTAAGAAGTACCAAGAGCTTTACACAGAATCTCTATTAAAATCCCTTTTTATACAAGTCTCATACATTTATTACATCATTTATTCCTAAGATATTTAGTCATTTTTCCTGTTTGCTGCTTTTATCTTTTAAATGATTATGATACTAAACAGTTGGTTCTCTCAGATTTCTGGGTAGCTATTAAATTTGACATTTCCTCTTCAATGTCTGCCTGTTTCTTTTTCTTATTGTACTGGTGTCTAGGACTTCAAAAAATGTTGAATAACAGTAATGCTAATGGAATCCTTTTTTGTTGCTGTTAATTTGAATTGTAATTCCTCTAGTGTTTTACCTCAAGTGAGTTGGTTGGTCAGTGTTTGTCAGTTATATGAAGTTTAGGGAAAAAATTCTGCACTTTTCCTTTGACTAAAATTCTGTTTTAAGCTAGTAGAACAGCTTGACTGGGAACAATTCATTCGAGCTGCTTCATAGATCTTCAGTTTCCTAAAAAGCAACAAAAATATCTTTTTGGATCTCAGTTTAATTTTTTAATTTCTTCAAATCATTTTCCAAAGCAATAGGTATAAATCTTAAAACTTTAAAGAACATACCTACATGTGAAAAACAGCAAAGACAGAGGTTTTGTTTTTTGTAGACAATCTAGACCTGAGTTTTAATTTTGACTCCCATCACTGACTCTGTCTTGATTCTGAGTCGCTTAAATATTCAGTGTGCAGCACTGTAAAATAGTGATGGCGGTGCCTAGGCTTTACTGTTGCTGTGAGGGTTAGATACGCTAACGTGTGTGAGGCAACAAGGTGTCTGGGTCATAATTAGATCGCTCACTTACTATAAGAACTTTTAATGACATGGCCTAGGATTACAAAGAAACTGTGTTGTCCAAGAAGGGGACTTCCCTTCTTAATTTAGAGATCTCTTGTCCAGTAAAGTAGAACCATAATTTCTAGGCAGAACTACCACAGAACAACACAAGTTTAGGAATTTGAAGTTGAAAATCCATGACCAGAATGGGCACAGCTTGAGGGAAAAGACTGCTTATTAAATGTCAGAGACTGAGAGATTTGAAGTCAAAAAGAACAGTGTCCACATCCCAGTTCTACCATTTGCTGGCTGTGCAGTCTTAGTAATGTTTCTTAATCACCTGGGCCGATATTTAAACAGAGTAGGTAGTAGTAGAAGTAGTAGGTGTGGTGTTACCTTCCTTCCTGTTTTTTTTTTTTTTTTTTTAAGATTTTATTTATTTCACACAGAGACAGCCAGAGAGGGAACACAAGCGGGGGGATGGGAGAGGGAGAAGCAGGTGCCCCCCGTGGAGCAGGAAGCCCGATGCGGGGCTCGATCCCAGGACCCTGGGACCACGACCCAAGCCGAAGGTAGACACTTACGGACAGAGCCATCCAGGCGCCCCCTTCCTTTCTGAACAGATGTCATCTTATTTTTAAATGGCTCTTCTAGGCATGTGATCTTGTGAAGTGTTGAGCTCCCTCCCTCCTTCCCTTCCATGTTTCTGGTAATCTGACATGAGCTGTGAAGTTTTAAGGAAGAAGCTAGTGCCCAGGTAGTAAGTTCTTTATGGCCCTGTCTATACCATTCTCTTTTTTCTTTGTCATATTAGTATGTTTTTGAGCAAGCAGCATATGGACATTTTTCTTTAGGCATTTATAGTGATTGGATAAGGCAGTCTTGGTACATTTTACAGTTAACTGAAAATGTACACCCATTTTCATGTGTGCAAAGTTCTAAAAGTTTTGAGTGAGTATTTTAATATTTATATTGCTAAATTAACTCTAAAATAAGCATATAGAAAATAGAAAGAAAACACTGCATTTGTAATTGGTGAAGAAAAGCAGAGTAAATTCTTTTTCTTTTTTTTTTTTTTTTTAAGAATTTATTTATTTGACAGAGAGCGAGAGAGGGAACACAAGCAGGGGGAGTGGGAGAGGGAGAAGCAGGCTTCCCACTGAGCAGAGAGCCCGATGCGGGGCTTGATCCCAGGACCCTGAGATCATGACCTGAGCCGAAGGCAGATGCTTAACGACTGAGCCACCCAGGCGCCCCAAAAATTCTTTTTCAGATGGCATTTGTGTGGCAGTGGTTTGTCTGTGAACCAGGATCCTAAGGGGCGGGTGGGAAGGTGAAACGGTAGGTACCTGTCAGTGCTGGCATCGTAGATGATAGGAAACGTCTGTTGTTTTTACCAAGTCTTTTGTGTAGTATATCCCAATCCCAATTTTAAAATGGAATATTCACGTACCTATTCCAGAAGCTCCTTGATAGATTTGATTATGATGATGAGCCAGAAGCTGTGGAAGAAGCAAAGAAGGAAGATGCCGCTGCCGCCGCCGCCGCCACCGCCGCCGCCGCCACCACCACCACCCCTGCTGTGGCTGTTGCGCCTCCAGCGCCCGCTGCCGCCTCCGCCGCGCCCGCCGCCGCACCTGCCGCTTCCCCTCCACAGGCACCCTTGTAAGTTTCTTTCCCGCGCTCCTCGGTGGGTACAGTTGCGCATCATTATAAGGCATGAGACAAGTGCAGTTGATCCTTGGCATAGCGTGATGATTAGGTAGGGGTGTCCACCTGCCCAGAGTCCAAAATCTGCGTTATAACTTGCCTCCCCCAAAACTTTTATATAGCCTACTCTTCACCAGAAGCCGAACCTGTACACATAGTTTGTATGTTATATGTATTATATGCTATGTTCTTCAGATGAAGTAAGCTAGAGAAAAAACAATGTTAAGAAAATCATAAGAGAAAATATGTTTACAGTACTATACTGTAGCCAGAAAACTGTATGTGGACTCACAGTTGAAACCCATGTTGTTCAAGGGTCAACTATAACTTTAGTAACAAAATCATTTTTCATATAGTCACTGTTTTTTAAAATTAGGATATTTAGGATTTTCTTTTGAAAGGGGCGGGGATCCTATCAGATTTACAGTTAAAAATGGCTTTTATGTTAGGAATAATGCTGAATGTATAAATTAATATAGGCAAGTACATGATTCAGTAAGATATTAATTATTAATGACTCCTGAACAACATTCTTAATGTTTCTGTAGTATAAACGTAGCTTAGAATCATGTGTGTTTTTGAATGGATAAAATGAAGATTGTTCATCTTTATTTAGTGGGTTTCCTGGGGATGGCATGCAGCAGCCAGCATATACGCAACATCAAAATATGGATCAGTTTCAACCTCGAATGATGACAATACAGCAGGATCCAGTGCACCATCAGGTATATACGTTTTTCTTGCGCTGAGTTTTAGTATGTGAAGATCTGTTCATTAGAGCATATGGATTGCACTTCACAGACCACTATTACTTAGCTGTGTGGCTGACTAGTACTGCAGCTGCAATCAAAGCTATTGAGCATATAATTGACTTGGGTTGTTTTTTTAAAAAGCTTTAATTAAAACAAGCATACTAAATATTACATGCTTATAATTTAATAATAGGTATTTTTGTTAAAATCGTTTAGAGGGAGATTATAGCTCTGTTTCAGGGACCTGGCCTGCTTAGTGGTGCAGCTCTTTCCCTTATGAGGAGCTTTTTTGGGTAAATGTTGTTTGAGATGCTTTAGAGCGTTTTTAGTCTCAGCCTTCAGGAGTATAGTTTGAAATCTTCAGTGAAAGGAACATAGCAGTCTGGAAAATTGCAAGAAGTTAGTAGGGATTTGTTTATTGGGTTTATTTTTGCAAATCCTTTATTCAGAGTTTCCTAAACTTTATTGCACAGCTAAGTTACAGAGGTAGGGATCTAATGCTAAAGTCAGATCTAAAGAATCTATTTTTTTTAAAAGTGTATAGATTCTGTTTTATAACCAGCCTCGGGAAATACTACTTCATATCCTTGGTTTAGAAAGGTTTCTAAGAAATCTCTTTAGAGTATGTTCATTTTCTTATGTGTATCTGTAATTTGCTAATATTAGAAATTGATACTGTGATTTTAATGACTAATTGATAAGCTTGTTTAAAATATGAAGAAAACCTGTGGACTTATTTCCAAATGTTTAACAGTTACTGAAAGTTTATAAATAAATTAGAAGGAGTACTTCTTTGTGATGTTATAATTGCACTTTTTTTTTTTTTAAAGATTTTATTTATTTGAGGGCACACAAGTGGAGGAGAGGGAGAAGGAGAAGCAGGCTCCCCGATGAGCAGGAAGCCTGATATGGGTGGGGCTTGATCCCAGAACCCTGGGATCATGACCTGAGCCACAGGCAGATATTTAACCAACTGAGTCACCCAGGCTATTATACTTTAGCATTGTTGGTATAGGAATGGCACATGCAGAAATATGTTACATTGTGGTTTACTCTCATTGCTATTATGGTATTTTAAACCCTAAAAGTAAGGATGTTAGTTGAAATTCCCCTTGGAGTAAATTTTTAAAAAGTGAACCTGTACGTCAATGCTATAATTGCCTTTGAAGTTGAAGGGAGACAGTTTGCAGTACAGTACCTCTCTGACTTCTAAGTTTATTCTGTCACATTGTTCCCCATATAAATGAAATTAATGTCTTTAAGTATATAAAGTCAAGCCTGTGCATTCATAATTTTAAAAATGAGTTCTAGAATTTTTAATCTATATACTTGGATATGTAAAATTCTTCAGATAAAATACCTATGGAAATTGTTTATCATTGTTAATTTCTTGAAGGTATTTTAGTTTTATATCAAGTAACTAAGGGTTTTCCGAATTATTTTTGGTAGCTGTTACTTAAAATCTACTCACATGCTTTCTTCAAAAACAAAAGGTTCCACTTCCTCCGAATGGACAGATGCCAGGATTTGGCCTTCTTCCTACACCTCCATTTCCTCCCATGGCTCAGTCTGTGATTCCTCCAACTCCACCCGTGCAGCAGCCTTTCCAAGCTTCTTTTCAGGCACAAAATGAACCACTTACCCAGAAGGCACATCAGGTAACACTTTATTCTCAGATTGGTTATCTTTTTGGTTGCTTTGACTTATGTGCAGATTCCTGCCTGTTTGCTTGTTATCTTCATTTTTGAATGTGAAGATAAACTGTTGATTGGGCACATATTCACTGTTTCTGTGCCTAAAGCTTTTCATCTGGAAAGTGAACATAGTAATAACACCAATTTCCATAGGATTCTGTGAGGATTGAGATAGAGTATAGAATGCTTAACCAGTGCCTACTTTACCACTGTAATCAATGGTTTAGTAAAATCATATGTAACTTATATGAAATTCCAGAATTAGAGAAGTGTTTCTTCTAAACTTGTAAACCATACAAAAAATTTTTTTCTCACCAATGGACAGTCATTATTAAACTAGTAACTTGATGTCAAGTAACCAGAATAAAACTGCCAAGGCAAGAGATTTGTAACTTAGCATTTTTTTAGTTTTTGTCATCTTCCCTCCATAATTTCCAGTTCTATCATTTAATGATGGGTGGTTATTTTTTGTTGTTTTTTTATTGATTTTAAAGGAAATGGAAGTAGAACAACCTTGTATTCAAGAGGTTAAACGGCACATGTCTGATAACAGAAAGTCAAGATCTAGGTCAGCATCCAGGTAATTGACAGAAAATGTTTTTCCAATCCTGTATGTCTTAGGAGACAGATTAAAATCAAACTGGACTATTTTTAGATATGCAGTGTTAATATTAAGTAACATTTGGTGTATTTGTATGTCTGTATGTGTAAAGTGGGAGCAGAAGTAGTAATTTAAAAAACTAAGGTCAGTCATCTTGCCCATGCTTTTCTCCTTAGTTGTTCCAATGCCTGCACGCATATATGCATAGAAGGATAGGAATTATGTATTCACAGTTCTTTACAAGTTTATCAGCAAACAAAAGTGAAAAGGTAATAAATAATACTGTAATCGGATAACATTTTTAATTGCTGCAGAAAAAAAGTTAACTGATAGATACCAGTAGTAGCAGTCTGTCTCGATAATGACAGCTTCTTACACTCTCAAGTACATGATTTAGTTATAGTACTGAGTTATCAAAGATGAGAGACATTTTTATAAGCTAGCAACCTTATTTATCTCATTTAAAATATGTGCATGCTTTTTAACTTGCAACATATTAAGATTTTTTAAAATGAATTCCCTGCTATTCAGTTATTATGTATCCAAACATTAAACTACCTAGTTCTATTTTTTCTTTTTCAGATTAATACCTGCTTACATTTTCAGTTTTTTCTCTATGTTCTGTCCATTCTCCCCCTCATGAAAATGTTAGGTCACCAAAAAGAAGGCGATCTCGATCTGGTTCTAGATCTCGAAGGTCCCGTCATCGACGTTCTCGATCACGGTCCAGAGATAGACGCCGACATTCTCCTAGATCTCGGTCCCAAGAAAGGCGAGATCGAGAAAAAGAAAGAGAACGCCGACAAAAAGGCCTTCCTCAAATCAAACCAGAAACTGCGAGTGGTAAATTTTTAACCTTTATATTCAAACTTCTTGCATTATTTTTTTCGTATCCTGAGTATAATAAAATGTTTTATAACTGTTAGCAAAATACAGCTTTATTGTCTCTTGTTTGTGCTTTGGCGTACACCCTTGAGTTTGCTTTGATATGTTAAACTAGCTGTAAAACAGCAATAAGGAGTGAACCCAACTAATAGTGATGAGGAATAAAGTGATAGCATGTCTTGAATTTAATGTGTGGAATGGAAAGCAATTAACTAGCTCTCCTGTACATGGAAAGGTTTTTTCCCCCCCAGATTAACTCTTTTTTAAGTATTTACAGTTTACAGAATATATTAGCTTGCATTGTCTCCTGAATCTCATCGTGCATTTAGAATATGTTTAATAAGGTATCTAGACACATTCATGATATAAGTTTGTAGTTACTATTGAAATTTTAATTTATAATACAAGTAGGGCATATGTAGAGCTTCTGCTTCTGGGAGGCTTATAGGATACAACATAAGAGAAAAACCATCTATGTACACTCAACAGTCAGAAAGGGACAGCTGTATTAGTGGACAAAAATGCTGGACTGGTTGTTGATCAAGACAGTTGGGATCGGGTCTTCTTCTGCTCACTTGCCAAGGGTGGCCTTGGACAGGTTATTGCTTCTATGTCCCCAGTTTAGATCTATCCACAAAAGGGCCAGATTTTTTTAAGTCTTATGTTGTTAACTATCCTATTCCATTTCTGGAAGTACTACCACAATTTTCTAGAATATTTTTAGTTGTATATGGGATTTGCTGCTTAACCTTATGGTATCGTGTGACTTGTGCTTTTTTCCTATAATGATTTTTTTATTGTAGAAAAGTACAGTGCTGCTCATTATCAAAATGTATATATTTTTATGATTATAATTTTATTTTAAGTTTGTAGTACTACACTCTGGGTGGGACAGCTGGACAAAAGGACTACTCAACAGGATGTTGCCAGTCTATTAGAAGAGTTTGGTCCAATTGAATCAATTAATGTGAGTATTTATTAAATTATGTAATGACAGTGGACAGTGATTAATGTCACTTTATGAAATTATGGACTTGAGACCCAAGTTAAAATTTGCCCAGCTTTGTAGAAGATGTGGCTAGTGTAGGTGTGGAGTCCATGTTTAGCACTCTGCATTTAACCACATTTCTTAGATAACCAAATTTAATTTGAAACCCTTTTCTAGAAAAGTCTATATTAACAAAGCTTGGAGAACTATAAGTTTATTAAAAACTGGTAGTTGAGACCAAATTTGAATTGCCCGTTTATGATACCTTAATCTCAGATTATAGAACCTGGCTTGGTAGGATGGGTAGGGGCCAGGGGAGTTGGGGTTGTTGGAGTTGGTTATTTAGTATTTTATTTTATTGCTCTTTGATTTTATTATATTTTATTAAAATGTTTTGGAGCAGATGATTCCTCCCAGAGGTTGTGCCTATATTGTTATGGTTCATAGGCAAGATGCATATCGTGCCTTGCAGAAACTGAGCCGAGGAAACTATAAAGTGAACCAGAAATCCATAAAGGTACAGTTTTATACCTTGTAATTCACTTTTTAAAAATTTTACACATAATATTACTTGGCTTTTTAAAAACTAATTTTGGACACTGAGACATTTCGTATATGTCTTCTTAAAGAGGTTATCTCCTAAATGTTAACAAAATTTTAAATGTTGGATTCATGTAGAATTTCATTTTTTAACAAAAAATGTGGATAGGTTCCTCAAGGTATTTTTAATTGGTGCTTTAAATATAATGTTGTTTAGTAAAAGATATTGTCATTCAAGATTTTTTGGATTTTATACATTTAAAAAAATTTTTTTTAATAAGTTTTATTTATTTTGGGTGCCTGTGTTGCTCAGTTGATTAAGCGTCTGCGTTTGGCTCGGGTCCTGGATTCGAGTCCTGAATTGGGCCCCTTGCTCAGCGGGGAACCTGCTTCTCCCTCTGCCTGCCGTTCCCCCTGCTTGTGCTCTCTCTCACTCTCTCCGTCTGACAAATAAAATCTTAAAAAAAAAAAAAAAAAGTTTTATTTATTTAAGTAATCTCTACACCCAACATGGGGCTTGAACTCACGACCCTGAGATCAAGAGTCACCTGCTCTTTCCGAATGAGTCAGCCAGGTGCCCCTGGATTTTACACATTTTTAAAGTTTGCCATCTCGTTCTTAGACTAAACTGTTAAAAATACTCAACAGAGATAGAGAAAAAGATGTAGTAGGTACATGGGTATTCTTCCCATAAGGGGCCAGAGTCAGCATCTCCTCAGTGTCGTAACACTCTACCCTTTGATTGCATTGCAAAAGGATTTTGTCTAATGTTGAATAATTCCAAGGTACTCAAGACTTTGGAAAGTGGTCCCCAGTATGCTGGACTGTACAGGGAACTTCATTCAGATTTTCCCTGATAAACATTATTTTCCTTTTCTCTAAGTTTTATGTTGGCTAAATTGAGAAGTGAGTGGTTGGAAGAGTGAAGAAGGAGGTAATGCCAGTTAAATTTGTACAAAATGGGAGAAAAGGTTAACCAGTTTCCTGGCATCAAAGTGAAATCCGGGGATAGCAGGCCCAGATTGTTCCCCTCTTGCCCCCGAGTCTGAGTGATTAGAAATTCGAGAAACAGTTAAACTCTCAAAACTGATATTCTTCTCCCTTCCTTTCTTTTTATATTTTGACTAATGGTGATACAGATTGCCTGGGCTTTAAACAAAGGAATAAAGGCAGATTATAAGCAGTATTGGGATGTAGAACTGGGTGTTACTTATATTCCGTGGGACAAAGTCAAGCCTGAAGAACTGGAGAGTTTTTGTGAAGGAGGAATGTTGGACAGTGATACACTTAATCCAGGTAAAGCAGTATTTAATTTCTTTTAAAATTCATCTATTTTCTTGATTGTACATAGGAAAAATGTTTCTTCACAGTAGGAAGTGGTTTTTGAAATTTTTCAAGTACCCACCATGTGCCAATCTCTCCATTATAAACTGAGGAAAGAATGGTAGATAAGACAGCTGTGGTCTTTGCCCTTAAGGCAACTTCTATTTAGTGGGGCAGATTCAGACATAAATGAAATACTACTGATCGTGGGGTTAATCATTAATTACAGTAGAATTTTTCACTGTGAAAACCTAATAGATCAAATGAGTCTTAGACTGAACATTAAGAGGTATTGTGTTTTAATCCAGTGCTTTGTAATAATTTCTTTGAAAGCATTTACTAGTCCAGAGAAGCAGTCGAAAGTAAACATGTAGACAAGGAGGTGCGTTACCTGTGCCATGAATATTAAAAATGCAAGATTGACAGTAGAATTACAGTGGGGAAAATAGCAGGTGTGGTCACGATCTGGAGATTGATAGATAGCTGGATAAGGAGGAGTGCAGGGTGGTATGGCAAAATAGTAAGTGATTAAAGGAGTTTCAAGCAAGCAGAGTTGGTTTGAGAGCCAAAAAGGTGAAGCGAGGCTCGGCCATTCCCATACCTTGACCTCTTTCCCCTCGGTGCGTGGTGGCTTCACCTAGGTTTCTGTTCAGGCACATAGGTATCAGGGCTCGACTGTGTGCCAGGCATTCTGGTCAGGGTAAAAAGAATCTTGTTCCTCCCTCCTGGGATCTTTATTCCAGACAGTACACTATTGTGGTTAAGAACATAGACCCTAGAGCCAGATGTGTGTTGAATCCTGCCTCTGCCCCCTTTTGGTATGTGTGACGTTGTTTTCCTTAATTTCCAAATTGTTTTCCTCATTTATAAAATGGGAATAATAATGGGACCTACTTACAGATGGTATGAGAATTCACTGAATTAATACATGTTACTTAGAACTGCAGGCATTCTTTTGCATGTTTGTTATTGTGGTCCATTCACTTAAGTAATATAAGATTAGCATAGACATTTCTTTAATGATCATACTGCTGAGTTTTTTATATAATCAGCATTTTAAAAATAATTTCTAGATTTAAAGTTATAAACTGAAAATGGTAAACTTGTTAAATTTCTTTCACTCTCATAGATTGGAAAGGAATCCCCAAGAAGCATGAAAATGAAGTTGCTCAAAACGGAGGGGCGGAAACCTCACATACAGAACCAGTATCACCCATTCCTAAACCTTTACCAGTGCCTGTCCCTCCGATTCCTGTCCCTGCACCTATAACAGTGCCACCTCCACAGGTAAGAGTATTTGGGGCACTATTTAAACTTGTGTCTGAAAGATAAGCCTTTCTGAATCTTACTTATTTAGATACATGTCCAGATTAATGTTCGAAGACATGAATACATAAATGTGCTTATTCAGATTTTGGTATGTCAGACCTACTTTTTATAAACTAACACATTTTTCATAAACATCAACAAAATCAAAATAAATTCACCTATCTGTCTACATTATTCAGTGTCTTTATAATGTTTCAGACTTGAGATGCAGACCTAATAGCATTTTATATTTGGCTTCCTCTTGTTTTCTTTTATTGGATCTTTATTCTTTGGGGACTTTATGTTCTGAGGGAACTTAAAGTATATATCCCAACAAGCCGCTGATTTGAGGGAAAGAGAGTTTCTTAATTTTCAATTTGTGTGGTGCTGTCATGAAATTTTTTAATGGATGAGCTATTTAATAAATTGAGTGCCACTTAACATGAAGGTATATTCTTAAACGTCTGCTGTCTGGTCAGTCAGTGCATTACTTCAGAAGAGAGAATCTGGAATTCTAACAGAACAGAGTTTGAATCCCAGCTCCATTGTTTATTCTCCACAGTGTGACTTTGGGCAAGTCACCTAATCTAAGCTTTAATTTCCTATCTATAAATGCGTGAATTCCCTTTCTTGGCTTTGGCTCTGGTGCTCTTCCTAGGTCAGAGTTGTTTTGAGGATTAAATGACATAATATGTGTTAAATACTCAGCATGTTTCCTGTACCTTTTTCAATACCTCACATTAAATCTGAATCAAATAAATCTGAACTATCACAAAAAGTGAGTTACCTAGCCTTTTGATTTTCCCTCCCTAAGGAGAAAATTACATGCTTTGATACATACTTAGCTGTGATATTTTATAAATGGATTTCCTAAATTGGCAAACTGTTTTGCTGATCTTTTGGACATGCCCGTTCAGCACAGGTTCTAAACAGGATTCATTGTATATCCCCACTTATTTAAAGAAACCTGACTAATCTGTTAAAATTGATCATACTTTTTTTTTTTTAAATAGTAGCTAACATATGTTCGGTGTTTATTAAGTGACAGGCACTAGCACTTAACATGTATTACCTCTTTAATCCCCATAACTATGTGAGGTTGGCACTTTTCCATTTTACAGATGAGTAAACTGAGGTCTAGAGATTGTAAATAGCTTACTCAGGGTCACAAAGCTAGTTAAAAGGGGAGAGGGGATAGGCAGTTTGACACCAGAACCTGGGATCTTAATCATTGTAAATTGCCAGGTAGCTTTTCTTAGAGTTGTATTTCTCAGGCTTACCTGTCCATACTCGTGAGATAAAATGTGAATTTGCTATTTTAAAGAAGCGAACAAAAATTTGAATTCTGTCATTTATAGTAGGTACTAATTACTCTCTGTTAATAGATAAATTGATTCACACAGTAAGCACAAGTTTAGAAATAGCTTTTTCAACAAGATCTTTTCATCTCTACTTACCATATGGATGGGAAGGTGGCTAGATACGTGGCTTCATTATTCTTTGTTTGTTTTTAGGTCCCACCACATCAGCCTGGTCCTCCTGTAGTTGGTGCTCTCCAGCCACCCACGTTCACACCTCCCTTGGGCATTCCCCCTCCGGGTTTTGGTCCTGGTGTTCCTCCTCCGCCGCCTCCTCCACCATTTTTGCGCCCAGGATTTAATCCGATGCATTTACCACCAGGTACACTAAGTTGTTAAAGAAGACATTCTTTTTAGAGCCCAAACTAAGGTGACACAACATAAGTTGACATTATTTTTCTTATTCTAGGTTTTCTTCCTCCTGGACCCCCACCTCCTATAACTCCACCAGTATCCATTCCTCCTCCTCACACTCCACCAATAAGCATCCCAAACTGTAAGCATGTTTTTCTTTCGTGTTCACTCGTCCTCTTGGAGTTGGGAGTAGGAGGGAGAATGGACCAGTAATAGGGTCTATAGTATGGCAAAAGAATGTTGACTGGGGAGATAATTATTCAGCTTCACATGTTGATGTAATTATATTCCTTAGCTACTATCGCTGGTATAAATGAAGACACTACAAAAGACTTATCTATTGGAAATCCCATTCCAACAGTGGTGTCTGGGGCTAGAGGAAACGCCGAGTCTGGTGACAGTGTGAAAATGTATGGCTCTGCCGTGCCACCTGCTGCACCCACGAGTCTGCCCACCCCTCCCGTAACCCAGCCTGTTTCACTTCTTGGTAAGTTAATTTTTTTATCATTAATTTTTTTTTTCCCCACCCAAGTTAGGTGTTTGTTTTGTTTTGTTTTAAACAATGCTAAGTTTGGGAAAATGTTCTCTGAGACTGATACTTTTCTTTGAGGAAGATCTTTCTCTTAAATATGTGCACTTGCTCTTTACCAAGGAGTAGGCCAAGAGACAACCTCAGAGATGAAATCATGTTTGTTGTCCTGAATAAAAGTGTGGATTTGTACATCTTAATTTGGCATAGGAAAGTGATTAATCTCTGTGAGCGGGAATTGGTACAAAGTCCATAATTGATACAACCCCAGACATCCAGCTTTATAAGAGATAGCTTTTCTTTGACAGCCTAGAATTTTTTCCTGTCTGGGTCAATTTTTACAAAACCCTGGGCTGTGATAACCTTCTCTGTTGGCTAGCAAAGAAATTATCTTTGATATATTGTAATAAAATGGCTTTATTGTCTGAGTGACAGTTGCACAGCCTGGGGCAATGCTTTCTCACCCCTCAGTTTTCTCCTGCTAGTTTATCTATTGTACTCTTAACACACAATTTTACTACTGCGATCAAGGGAAGTAAGATTTAGATTGTTTACATCTTTAAGGGGCTTACTTGAATTATAAATGATCATTTCATATACTTGTTATGGTGACCATCTTTTAAATTAATAAATTGTTGTATTTTGAGGTGGTTTTGCCAAGTATAATGAACACTTGATTCTCCTAATGGGTAGTTAATTCATCCTTAGTATTACAACATTATAGTCCTGGAAGCCCATTGTATTTTTCAGAGGTATATGTATGTGCACATATGTGCTTTCATAATCTTAGATTTTTTTTTTTAAGGAGAGAGCACATTAGTTGCCTCTGAAATGTAGGACTGTGGAACATTAGTTTGTGATACAGGACTTTTACTTTTCACCTACACCTTTCAGTGCTGTTGGAAATTTTTACTTTGTGCATATACTACATTTGTAATAAAAATCAATTTGTTTTCAAATAGCATGCTGTCTTCTGCCCTCTCTAAGACTGAGATTAGTCTGATAATAAACTTGATTTTTATTTCCTTTAGTACACAGACTGGGTAATGGTAAAAGAGCATTTGGGATTAAAATTTGTCACCAGTAATGTAGCAGTAGTCATCACGGTGGGAAGTAGCTTGTTTAATGAGGAAGTTGCTTTAAGAGGTCTACATCATAATGAAAATCATGCAGTAGAAGGAACATTGTTCTAGGAGCCAGGAAACCTTAAAATCTTTGGATCTCAGTTTTGTTATGCATTTTGTTTTTCATATCTGTACTAAGATCGTTGCATAAGAATCACAGAATCTGAGTTGGATAGTATTTTCTGATCCACCCCTTTCCTCTGCCTCACACTGACACCCCTGATTGTGAATTCTCTTTGTAATGAAATTTCCTAGTCTACTAGCAATCCATGGATATTAGGCCGCCTGAGACTATTTACAAAGTGGCATGCATTTGTGCTTTTTTTTTGGTGTTAGTAAATCCACTGAATGAAAGCTTTCTTCATCCTCAAGAGTTTAATAACCATTACTTTCAAACAGCCTTGAAGACTAAGTAGCCTGCCACTGATTTAACATTTAGGTCTTGAAGACTACACCCTTTATTTCTTACCACTGCGGAGGTGCATAATTTAAACTCTGCATCTGACATGTGAAACAAAGCACAGATCAAAAGTTGGTGAGCTTGAAAAACAAACTTAGTAAGTTAAGCACTGCTAGAAAAATAATTACATTTCTTAGCATTTTTCATTGCTTGACATGCCTCTGTATGTCTTCCCTCCTTCTCCCTCCCAAATACACACTAGAATAGAAACTCCATGAGAGAGGGACATTTGTTACTTGAGGATGTGGATAGATGGATGGTTTTTAATGCAGGGCTGTTTATACTTTATCTCTGATGATGATCTTTGTAACTTGCAAAACAAAATTTAGAAATTGAAGGCTGTTCCAAATCTGGAAAGATCAAAATGTGACATAACATAAAAATGAAAACTGTTTTGTCAAAATAAGTACTTTTAACTAAAATGTAGTAGTTTAGTTCTAGTCACAAGAAAGAAAGCCTTTCATATTCCTTCAATTAGAAATCTTGAAAAGAATACCCCATAAATTTTGACCTTTAGAAAAAGGAGACTTTTTAATGTGTATGCAAATAAAGGAGAATTTACCCAAAAGAGGAATCACAGTTCCATCATTCTGATAAAGAAATGCAATAATCACATGTAATACTGCAGCACTGAAGGATTGCTAATTAGGTTGGGATATTGTTGATGTTGACCAAGTAATAGAATATTAGAACTAAGATGCTTTCAACTTTCTTCTTGGTGCTCTAATGTTTCTCTTACGATAATAAAAAGAAATGCTATGCTGTACCAGGAAACTTAAAGCCTAGAAGGTGATATGAAACTCCAGTTTCTTCATCTGTTTAAAAAAAAAAAAAAAAAAGAATAAAAATGACACACCAGGTGTTGTGGTGATTCAATGGGCTAATGTATATAAAATGACTGACATGTGGGGCCTGCCACAGGGTAGGCCATCTGTGAATGGTGGGTGCTTATTACAGAGGTAAGGAGTGTCCTAGGAGATTTAGAATACCTAGACAAGATCTATACTTTGTAATCCTAAAATTATATTACTTTAGCTGTGATTTGTAAACTGTTCTATTTGTTGGCAAAGGAAGCAAGCTTTTTAGGGGAAAAAAATGTATCTTGACATATTTTGCCTCAGATACTTTCATGGTGGATTAGACCAGGTCATAAGTTCACACATTTTCAAGTTCCATCACTTGGCCTAATGAGGACGTATGTTAGTTCATAGTGGTATTTCACTGAAACAGCATAATATGATATTTGTATTCTTCTCATTAATGATACTCAGGTAGTTTTCTTACAAGGGAAGGTGAACCTATTCTTGGGACCTAACTAAGTTCTTGGATCTTACTTTCTGAAACATGGCAATAATAATTTAAAGTGGCAGGGGCCAAACAACTGTCTATCACATCTCCCAACATTCAGTAGTTAAGACCTGATTATTATGGAGAGGAGGCAATGCAGTGCTGCAAGGATTGGCTTAAAGAATTTTCTGAATGATCAGATGTAAGTGTGGGCATTAGTTTGGAAGTGTTAACTACTTATTTCTGGAGTTGGGCTGAGGTAGCCCACACTACCAAATTTGTAGAGAACTAAACCTCCATCTTGTAGAAATTCTGATTATTTTAGTAACTGGTAATCTGAAAATACGAAGTTATATGATGCACAGTAATAATTCATTATCACTTGATTTTGAAGAAGTCCATTCTTCGTACCTCACACTCCAAAATAGCTAGTTAGGACAGTGGTGGTTTCATAAAAGCTATTGGTAACAGTTGTTGATCATTTAGGAGAGAAGGAATATTAATGATAATAGCAATTCAGTTTATTCTCTTTACTGTATTAAGTGTATGTGTTTACTTTTCAAAAACTTGTATAACATGTATCTCTAATATGTATAGCATATTTTTATTAAAAAGTTCATTGTAAATGTGAAATTTGGGTTCCTTTGGTGTTGCAGACAATAAAAAAAATACACAAAAAAATGTTTGTTTGTGTTACATATCTCTACTGTGTTACCAGTATATCCAAAATATCTTTTCAAGGAAAAATTATACTAACTTGGACTCTTTCCTTTTGTGGAAAATGAAAGCCTTTTCTCTTGTCAGATACATTTATTCACTAATTGTTAATATGCAAATTCTCCCTAGTTTTGTCACACTGCTATAGATGATGGTGAAATTTATAAATAGGAATTGGGTATTTCTAAGATTGCTTCCTATTTACTGCTAATTTTGGTTACCAAAGATCTAAAGCAGAAGTCACAAATTGGTGGGCTCTAGGCTGAATTGCTAGGCAGTGGTGTGATGCCCTTCAGACTTGGTTTCTACACATCCCTGCGTGAACTCAATAAGCATTTGAGTCGATGTTTCCCAAATTTGGACACTTCAAGAAATTATGTGTACAGAATTGGTTTGTGAATTATTACATACTTAAATTGGGTGTGTTTGCTTTTATGCAATAGTTATGATCCTTAAAACTGCCTAGAAGAATAGTTTTACCATCACATTCAATAATTACTTTAAAACTGATACTTGATTTGTGGTGATTTCACTTAGCTTGGATTTCTCTGCCCAGAATTTTAATTTTTTTTATAGTTAGTAATTTTTAACATTTAAATTAGAACATTAGAGCACCAATCTAGTGTGAATAACATTCAAAGGAAACCTGAAGAAAATTCTAGAAAGCAGTTTCTTTCATGGTAATACTTAATTTTTAATATAACTTTTATGTTTTAATATTTTTTTTCTTTGAACTTCACTATAATGTTTGGTTATTTTTAATTATAAGCTAGAGGGATCTATGAGGTATTTGATTTGGTACCCCAAAAAGCCTGTTGACTCTGTCCTGTAAAATGTTCCCTTTGAAAGCTTTAAAATATCCGAATTGGAACTCTAAATATTACATTGGTAATTATTTCACTAGTGTTACATAGTAGAAATGGTTCCCATATACTCATCACAATACCTTCAATTTAGTATATAACATTGTTCGGTGGATACAGTAGATAATTAATAGCTATTAATCCACAACAGATACTTGCCTTGGATATGAGTTGATGCATGAATACACTATTATTTTCTCAGAAGGTGAAGTATTTCAAATGAAAAACACAGGGAAGGTCTTGTACAAAAACTGGAAAGCTGCTTATCACATTTGTCCCCATGTCCCTCTGTGCTTCCTAGGCTATAGAACTCCAGCCTAAAGTCTTTCTTCAGTTTAAATCTTTCTGACATATATCACTTTGGGCTTGAGGAAGGTGGGAAGGGCAGACACTCTGGGCTCTAGATTGATTTTGGTAGACAATGATGTTGCTGTGAAGAATTTCAGGTAAGATTTTTTTTTTCCCCCCAGCTAATGTTGAAAGTAAAATTCCCTAAGGAAATCTCAT